TCATCCGCAGCCTGGCTGTTGTAACTGAAGTCTGAGAGCTGATTTGGGAAAAATATACACTTTTACATCCACCGTCTTCTCTACTCCAGCCATCACTACTTTATGCTAGAAAGCCAAAACCTCTAACTTTCTAGAAGCCTGACAAGACCTACAAGTGTTTCAAAAATATGAATAAAGGATTTATTCATAATGCTGAGTATGGTCCAAGCTTGTCAAAGGATATGCAATATGTCTGTTAAGTGAACTATACATAAAAAGCATAGAATCATAGGATCATTTAGGTTGGAAAGGACCTTTAAGATCGTTGAGTCCCGCCATTAACCTAGCACTGCCAAGTCCACCACCAACCCCTCTCCCTAAGTGCCACACCTACACATCTTTTAAACACCTCCAGGGATGGTGACTCCACCACTTCCCTGGGCAGCCTGTTCCAATGCTTGACAACAGTTTTGGTGAAGAAATTCTTCTTAATATCCAATCTAAACCTCCCCTGGTGCCATCTGAGGCCATTTCCTCTTGTGCTATCAACTGTTACCTGTGAGAAGAGACCAACACCCACCTCACTACAACCTCTTTTCAGGCAGTTGTAGAAAGCGGTAAGGTCTCCCCTGAACTTCCTTTTCTCCAGGTTAAATGCCCCCAGTTCCCTCAGCCGCTCCACATAAGACTTGTGCTCCAGACCCCTCACCAGCCCCTCAGTATCTTTCTTGTATTGAGGGGCCCAAAACCGAACACAGTATTCGAGGTGCAGCCTCACCAGTGCCAAATACAGGGGGACGATCTCTGCCCTAGTCCTGCTGGCCACACTATTTCTGACACAAGCCAGGCTGCCGTTGGCCACCTGGGCACACTGCCGGCTCACGTTCAGGTGGCTGTTGCCCAGCACCCCCAGGTCCTTTTCCACCGGCACCTTTCCAGCCACTCGGCCCCACGCCTGTAGCGCTGCACGGGGTTGTTGTGCCCCCAGTGCAGGGCCCAGCACTGAGCCTTGTTGAACCTCACACAGGTGGCCTCGGCCCATCGATCCAGCCTGTCCAGATCCCTCTGTAGAGCCTTCCTGCCCTCCAGCAGATCAACACTCCTGCCCAACGTGGTGGTGTCTGCAAACTTACTGAGGGTGCACTCGATCCCATCGTCCACATTGTTGATAAAGGTATTAAACAGAACTGGCTCCAGTACTGAGCCCTGGGGAACACCATTTGTGACCAGCCACCAGCTGGGTTTAAATCCATTCACCACAACGCTTTGGGCCCGGTCATCTGCCAGTTTTTTACCCATCCAAGCCATAAGCAGCCAGTTTCTCCAGGAATATTCCATGGGAAACGGTGTCAACGGCCTTACTAAGGTCCAGGTAGACAACATCCACAGCCTTTCCCTCATCCACTAAGCGGGTCACCTTGTCATAGAAGGAGATCACTTAGTCAAGGAGACCTGCCTTTCATAAACCCGTGCTGACTGGGCCTGGTCACCTGGTTGTCCTGTATGTGCCGTGTGAAGGCACTCGATGATCTGCTCCATAACCCTCCCCAGCATCGAGGTCAGACTGACAGGGCTGTAGTTCCCCAGATCCTCCTTCCAGCCCTTCTTGTAGATGGGCGTCACATTTGCTAACTTCCAGTCAGCTGGGACCTCCCTGGTTAGCCAGGACTGCTGGGAAATGATGGGAAGTGGCTTGGTGAGCACTTCTGCCACCTCCCTCCGCACCCTTGGGTGGATCCCATCCAGCCCCATAGACTTGTGTGTGACTAAGCGGTGTAGCAGGTCACTAACCAATTCCCCTTGGATTACTGGGGCTTCATTCTGCTCCCTGTCCCTGTCTTCTAGCTCAGGGGCTGGGGACCTGGAGAACAAATGGTCTTACTATTAAAGACTGAGGCAAAGAGGGCTCTAAGTACCTCTGCTTTTTCCTCATGTTCTACTATGTTTCCCCTTGCATCCAATAAAAGATGGAGATTCTCCTCAGCTCTTCTTTTGTTGTTAGTGTATTTATAGAAACATTTTTTATTGTCTTTTATGGCAGTAGCCAGATTAAGTTGTAGCTGAGCTTTGGCCCTTCTAATTTTCTCCCTGCATAACCTCACAACATCTTTGTAGTGCTCCAGAGTTGCCTGCCCCTTTTTCCAAAGGTCATAAACTCTCTTTTTTTTTCTGACTTCCAAAGCTCTCTGTTCAGCCAGACCAGTCTTCTTACCTGCTGGTTCATCTTTCAGCACATGGAGACGGCCTGCTCCTGTGCCTTTAAGATTTCCTTCTTGAAGACTGTCTAGCTTTCCTGGACTCCTTTGCCCTTCAGGACTGCCTCCCCAGGGACTCTGTCAACCAGGCTCCTAAACAGGCCAAAGGCTGCCCTCTGGAAGTCCAAGGTGGCAGTTCTGCTGACGCTTTCCTCATTCTCCAGGAATCAAAATCTCTATCACTGGGTGATTGCTATGCCCAAGACAGCTTCCAACCATCACCTCACCCACGAGTTCTTCTCTGTTCACTGTTAGCTCCCTCACCAGCTGTGTCAGGAAGTTCTCTCCCACGCACTCCAGGAACCTCATGGAGTATTTCCTCTCTGCTGTGGCGTATTTCGAGGGGACACCTGCTAAGTTGAAATCCACCACAAGAACAAGGGCTTGTGAGACTTTTCCCCACTGCTTATAGAATATTTCAGCTGCCTCTTCATCCTTGTTGGGTGGTCTATAAGTCTCCCACTATGCTATCTGCCTTGTTGGCCTTCCCCCTGATTCTTACCCATGAACACTCAACCCTACCATCACCACTGTTAAGCTCTAGACAGTGAAAACACTCCCTACCTAACATACGGGGCTACCCCAGCCCTCCTTCCCTGCCTATCCCTTCTGAAGAGTTTAGAGCCATCCGTTGCCGTACTCCAGTTGTGTGAGTCATCCTACCATGGTCCTGGGATGGCAACTATATCATCGTTTTCACACTGCACAAGGGCTTCCACCTCCTTCTTTTGTTGCCCATTGGTGTGGATGCACTTCAGCCGGGCTATTGATCCCACCACCTCTGTGGAGGGAGAAGCCCGAATTCCTACGTGACCGTTCTCTGGCACTTCCATGGTTTCTAACACATGGATAACCCTCGCGTCTTTGCAGTTGTGTGGCTCTCCATCCCCTGCCTCCACTGAGATACACGTAGCTGTAACAGCTATATGCCTTAATTGTTAAGCCCAAATACCCCTTCCCTCCACGGCTTGTCTGGACAAATACCTGCCATTTGACTGGGCGTAGCTGCCTCTGCTGTATGGTGCATTCATCACTCTCTCTTGATGTTTGGTTTTCCAAGACTAACGATATAACTTCTCTACTTGCCTTGTGATCAAAGCCTTTAGGCCAGTGAGACACCATTTCGGGCCCTTGGATTGCGTTCTTGTCATGCCGCTGGCCGGCTGTATGACAGCAGCATGTCCCTTACGTTCCCTGCTTGCTGGGCCTCACCACAGGGACTGCTCGCCTCGCTGAAGAGCAGACACCTGCAGTAAGGAGGCACCCAGCCCTGTGGTGCTGCAGCTGAGAAAAGGCAGCGTGGGGAGCGCCAGGGACCCTCTCATCCTTTCCTTCGCCATCATCCCATTGATTTTGTCAGAAGGGAAACACTGCATTAAGCTGTTTCTGGTTCAGTGAAGGGGCATTTGCTATCCAAAGACAGACTGTGAATTTTCTTTCCAATGCCTCGTTAACTCTCTCCCTGATTTACTCTATACACAATTATTCTGAAGTTCCTATACAATATACATCTTCCTTCTTTGGAGAGAAGCAAAAATGTTAACCCAGAGCAGTAGATGACCATGTGACCAAGCAGCCTAAGGTGCCCAGCATGAATGACACGTGCGTTGTGTGGTGGTGCTGATACTGCTGCAAGGCTGTGGGATATACCATGGACAGGAGCATTTGTACAGGTTTTCTCTTTCTCCCTTCTGCCTTATAGACTGCTCTTTCTGTTGCCTTCCCAGAATTTATCATTGCACCATTTTTCTGGAGAAAAATAGGGTTTCCCAGCCACTCCAGAATGGCGAAGTCCTTTTTAGCAGGACCCCAGTATGCACTCTGCCTTCCTGGGGAAATCCTTAGTGTTCAGACAGTCTCAGTCATGCTGAGGCTCCAAGAAGTCTGTACATGTACTCTGTAGTTGTTGAAATTCAAAGGAGACTGACACAATAAACCTGTGGGCATAGGGCAGGTACTCCTGTTGTAGTGGCCAGCAGGATGAGCTTACAAATACACCACTGCAACAGGTCCTAAGTGTTACTTAGCTACACCGTAGCTAGGGTGTGAATGGTTGAGAGTGGCATCAGGCACGTATAGACACAATCATCACTGTAGACAAGAGCCCCCTCACAGCCTCTAGCCATGTGGGTTGGTTGGGTTTTTTTGCTTTGGTTTACTTTTTCAATTGTTAGGGGTCCTTTTTTTCCTGGAATAGCCCCTCTATGGGACATGTAGCAAATAACCATTGTTGCTCAGTATAATTACTTAAACTCTCCAGGAGACTTATTTTAAGCAGTTTAAGTGCCGAGTTTAACCACCTTAAAAAACCTAAGGCTCTGTCCATCCTGGACTAGCTCTGAGGCCTCAGAATACTTTCTGTACTGAAGTATCTCTCTAAACAGATGCTCAAGGTTTTATTTCGAGGCTTTCCAAAGCAGGGCTGCACTGGCAGTACAAAAGCATCCTCCACTAACAATGTATCCCTGAGCCTTGTCTGCTGGATGAGGCAAAGACACCAGTAAGAAATTCCAGAGCATCAAATTTGTTTTTTGTGGTAGTAGACGTACCGTGTTCAAGCGATGAAATGATTCTGAGTGAAAGCTAATGAGAGCAAGGTCAGCCGAAGCATCTGCCAGACTAGCACCTTTTCACAGTGCTCATGGGGAGTAAGCAGTTATCAACACTTGCTGGGCTCAGCTGCAGCGGTGCCAAAGCTGTGGCCACGTTGGCAGACTGTGCTGCTTCCCTGGAGGGAGCTGACAGTTTGACTTGCTCTGTCCACAGCTCATCAGCGATGGCAGCGTGGTGTACGCAGAAGCCCTCTGGGACCATGTCACGATGGATGACCAAGAGCTGGGATTCAAGGCCGGCGATGTCATTGAAGTAATGGATGCCACCAACAAGGAGTGGTGGTGGGGGAGGATTCTGGACAGCGAAGGCTGGTTTCCAGCCAGCTTTGTACGGGTAAGAGCTTGATGTTTCTTTATGCCTCTCCATTAGCACCACGTTTTCCTTCTTTTTCTCCAGGTTTAGTGTTCTGTAATGACTCCCCAGCACTTTCACAGCTAGAGGTAGTTGGTTCAACGTGTCTTGTCACTATTCCTCTACACATGGCTATGGTACATCGGGCCCTCCCAGCTGATCTGCCAGCAGTAGGGAGAAGGCTCTCTTTACATGAGCAAATCAGTGCAAGGGTGGTTCAGTTCCAGGGTCTGGAGCTAAGCTGAGCTGCACCAGCTTGGGAGCTGCCCTGCATGGTGATTTGCAGCCTGTCGTGGTTTAACCCCAGCTGGCAACTAATCACCCCACAGTGGCTTGCTCGCTCCCGCCGGGTGGGATGGGGGAAAGAGAAGGGGAAAAGTGAGAAAACTTGTGGGTTGAGATAAAGACAGTTTAACAGGTAAAGCAAACCAAGGGATTCATTCCCCACTTCCCCCGGGCGGGCAGGTTCAGCCGTCCCCGGGACAGCCGGGCTCCGTCACATGTAACGGTGACTTGGGCAGACAAGCGCCATCGCGCCGAGTGTCCTCCCTTCCTCCTCCTGCTGCCCCAGCTCTGTGTGCTGAGCATGATGTCCTATGGGCTGGGGTCAGCTGGGGTCAGCTGTCCCGGCTGTGCCCCCTCCAACCCCTTGGGCACCCCCAGCCACTCGCTGCTGGGGTGGGGTGAGAGGCAGAAGAGGCCTTGGCTCTGGGTAAGTGCTGCTTAGAAGTAATGAAAACTTCCTTGTGTTATCAACCCTTTTTCAGCACAAATCCACACGCATCCCCATACCAGCTACCATGGAAAAAATTAACTATCCCTGCCAACACAGGCACAGCTCCTGCTTACCCATATTGGCTAGTTTGTGCCTAAGCACACAGCATCCCCTTGGAGAGCGAGCAACAGATAATCTCCTAGAGGAATCCCAGATGCAGCTGGCAGGTCTTCACTCTACTGTCCACACAGTATGGATGAGCACGGCACCAGATTTAGCTTTCTGGTGCTGGGTCCAGGGCAAGGCCGTGTCCCAAACTGTGCAACAATCCCACTCACACATATGCACCACCTTCGCGTAGTCCCGGTGTTTTAAAAACATCAGGCTGCTGGGCTACCACACAGCACTGTATTCCAGGCATTTAAAAATGGAGGAGAAACCCACAAAAAATGTCTTGGAGGTCAAGTGGGACAACTGATGAGGGGGAGATAGGAAACATCTGATGCCTTTGGGCCACGGCTCTCCCTTGGTGCCAGCTACAAAGACCATACAGAAATAGCTATATAGAACAGCCCGGACAGTCCCAGCTGTATGCTGCAGAGGTTGGATTAATTTCCAACAGAGCATTCTGAAACACATCTGCATTCCCTGTGCAAGTGGGGAGTAAAACAACTCTGGGCGCCTCTTTCCTGCTGTGAGGAGAATGGCTTTTTTCCTTTCTTTGGGCTGTGACTGTTGGTGTGGATGCCTGACTCTGCTTTCACCACTTCAGGGCAGGCTCCTGAGTACTGCAAAGGCAATTGGGTGCCCAAGGGCAGAGATTCTCAGCCCTTTACCTCTTCATACGGGTCACTTCAGCTCACAAGTGACCCAAAACCAGGTGAAGTGTAAAAGGTGATCCAAGGTGATCCGGAGTCTGTAGCAAAAGTCCTCGGAGAAGAGGGGCAGATAGTGCTGTAAAAGTTTTGAAATGCTTTGTTACAGTTGCAGGAGGCAGTCTCAGCTGGGTAACTACTAGAACCCGTGGATGTTTTAGCAAGTAAGATTACTAGGACCAAACTCTCAGCACTGGTGGGGAGGGAACTGCTTTTTCACAGTCAAAACTCAGGCCTTTTTTTCTTTCATGTTACTGATAAGTTGAATTGTCCTAGTTGCCAAAAACCTGTGATGATGTTTCAGGGGAAAGCAGACTAGTGCTAGCCATTAGAGATGCAGAGTGCCAAGTTCTTTTAGCAGAGTAATTACAACACTTATTCAAGAGTCTGAGTGAGGATTTCCTGCTAATTATCACCGGGTCTCAAGCTTACTGCTGGGAAGGCTGATATGTTTGGGGACTTGGATAAATCTGCAGGTCCCTCAGTTACTCCACACAAGTTTCAGGCCAAGGTCTGAGTTTAAAGCTAGCCATTGTTCTGCTCACAGCAAAGGAAAACCCAGACTGCACATCCTGAGGGCTTCACCAGCTGTAAACAGTGAGTAAATGTAATCTATGCCTGTGATGACAAGGGATGGGTATGCACTATTTTTTATATGTAGATATATCTGTATCAAGTGGTAAGTAAACCTGTCTAGAAGAAATCGCATCAAAAGCTGAAAGCAGCTCTGGGTCATTGTACTAAAACTGCCTACTCTTCTGAGTGTTCCTGCTTCAGTGTTTCTCACCTCTCTGTGCTGCGGTTGATCATTTGAGTTCTGTGCAAAATATTCCCAGGGGCACTCTGAGAGCTACAATGCTACGACATAAAAGAAAGCTCGTAAGTGAAGCGCACCAGTAATTGCCTGCTGTTAACTAAGGCACTTTGCTGCTGTTGACAGTTCGGGCTGCAGGACCGTGTGTCCGCCGCACGCCGGTGCCTTCTGCTGCTCAGGCTGTGCTGCCATCTGATGGGCACCGGGGAGGAACCGCGAGATCCACACCCAGCCCTGTAATGCAGTGCCATTCCTTACCACGTCATGTGCCCACTGGCATCGTATCTGCTTTTATATTCACAGTAAATTCTCTTTACATGATCTTGGGGAGCAGATACTGGGAGGCCATCTGTTATTTGCAGTATGAGAACAACAGTAAAGCTATATAAAAAAGCAACTATTTGCTGGTTTCCCCCTTCCCTCCCTAAGCGCCCCCTCACAAGTAGGTACTTGCAGAATTTCTGTCCTGGTTTTATTCTCCCTGGAGGACTCCACATCATTCCTGTGACTTCTGTCCACAAGAGATGCCTGCTTAAAACCACCCATGTCACAGAGTGGAAGCACCTGGCATGTGGCTTGAAAATACCCTCCCCAAACTGACTATCTGGCCTTAGCTTCCCCGAGGGGAAAGTATTTTCACAGGTAGTATACACATAGCAGCCCTCTTCACTCCTCGCCCTCGCTTAAGCTTTGTCTGCCATTCAGTCAACTGTCCCAGACTTCTTTTCCTTGGAAAAGTAGCAATACAAACGGTGAGCATCTTGTGTGTCTGGCACAGCTGCGAGTAAACCAGGATGAGCCTATGGAAGATTATCCCCTGAAGGTAGAGGGTGGCAAAGAGGACGACTCCAGCAGTGGCACCCGCCGCTTTGGGATGGGGCAGACCACCAAAGACCAAATGAGGACCAACGTCATTAATGAGATCATCAGCACAGAGAGAGACTACATCAAGCATCTGAAGGACATCTGTGAGGTAATGGGAAAAGGGGGAAGTGAATGTAAGAACTTGTTTGAAGGATGATAGAGGATGTCCCATTCTTGGCCAGAGAGTGACCCTAAGCAGGTAACTTTTCTTTTCTGAACATGAGGCTGTGTTTATTTCCACCAGAACCTGCTCTGCTAAATGGTGTTGCATGCTCAGAAAACAGAAGACAATTCATTACAGCAATATCCCAAATGCCTCTGTATTTGGAGCACCCTCTTGGGCTCTGATTAAATGGAATTAATTGGATTTCCCAAGCCAGAGAAAAGTAAATGTCTAGCATTCCTGTCCTCTTTAATATGTGTTCTGAGGTAATATAGTCAGCAACTCCAGCCTTCAGGCAAGTCATGCTCAGATCAAAACAACTGGGGGATGTTCAGCCAATTAGGTCTTTCACTTGCAAATATGCTGACTATTGTGACACCTCTTCTAAAAGAGACACACTGTCATCTACACTGGGGTAAATTACAGTAATTGATAAGAGTTTTGCAGGAACATAGTTCTTCACTGAAATGACACAAAAATGTAGTGCCTTCCAGGAGAGCCAGCTGGGGCAAAGCAGCACACACGTACCAACCTGGCCTTTTGTCCTGCCGTGTCCCCCCTGTCCTTTGTGCACCCAAACCAGATTTGCAGCTGGATTTAACTGGCCTAAATCTATCAGTGGATCCGTGCTGGGGTCAGAGCACCCCGTAGCCTGCAGACAGATAAAGGTGATTTTAATGGGAGAGAAAACAGCTCTGAGACTCCTTCGGGTGTGGATTACAGTATCCTTTAAGGCAGTGATGTAACTGTGGCTTGGTTTCTATTGGTACCAGCTTTTGGGTGACATTAGAGGAAATGATAGCTAAAGCACGATGCACCTATGCAGGAAGGGGGTACAGGAACCTGCTGTACAACTGACTATAGTCCACGGTGTTTTCTGTTGATACCTAAAGGCCACAGAGCAAACGCTCAGGAAGCTTTCCAATTTGGTTTCCTCCTAGGGTTACATTAAGCAATGCCGCAAGAGAGCTGACATGTTTACAGAGGAACAGCTGAAGACAATCTTTGGGAATATTGAGGACATCTACAGGTGCCAGAAGAAATTTGTTAAAGCACTAGAGAAGAAATTCAACAAAGACCACCCACATTTGAGTGAGGTTGGCTCATGCTTCTTGGAATATGTAAGTAAATTTGATTTCATGGGGAAGGGGCAGCTGAGCACGGATTAAGCTAGAGGATATAAAAACTGATCTGACAGAACTGAAGCTCAGTTTAAAAATACCCCCCCAACCAGATTAAATGCCACCACCCCACCCTGTTCAACCACTACCCACCTCCCAACAAAACACCCTCTAGCTCTTGTGGCTGTGGAAAGAACATTGTCACAGCGCCTCAGCTTCTGATCACTGTACTCCCTGCCAGACCACGCTACTTGAGGCAAAAATGTAGGAAGATTCCCAAATGTGGAGCTGGACCTTAGTTTACAGCTATGATATTTTCAGGTTGGTGTAGGATCAGCAACAGCTTACCCAGCCATTAAAAACACTCCGCTGAGCACAGGCCAGAATACATGGAAATGTCTCAGTCTCTCAGACAAGCGGCACGTGCTGTAACGTGTAATATACCCTGCCCATCCCCAACTTTAGGTCTTCAGGCTTCAAAGTGCGGGGAGGACACCAACCACCAACCAGCCCCATGTGATACACGAGTAGCATCTACACAGGGAACTCACACGCAGTGGTCTGAGCCAGGCCATCGCCCTAAAGAACACGGACAGTAAATCCCTTTGTTTCCCTTGCAGCAAACAGAGTTTCAGATATACTCTGAATACTGCAACAACCACCCCAATGCCTGCATGGAGCTGTCCCGCCTCACCAAGGTGAACAAGTATGTCTACTTCTTCGAAGCCTGCCGCCTGCTGCAGAAGATGATTGACATCTCTCTGGATGGGTTTCTGCTGACGCCGGTGCAGAAAATCTGCAAATATCCACTGCAACTGGCTGAACTGCTCAAATACACCAACCCCCAACACAGGTAGGTCAGCGTGGTGGGGAGGGAAGGAGCGAGACTGGTCTCATGGAAATGGACTAATGCAGAATCGTGTTGAGGGCAGCTTGCCCAGAGCGGCTGCTACCACAGTTCTTCTGTGCTACCCTGTAGAAACCAGGAAAAAACAGCGTTTTTCTATCAAATACATCATTTTCCACTACAGTAGCTCTGGGCTTTCCTGTCTGTTACAGATCTGGAGTTGCGAGGTCCACCTTATAATGGTCCTTTTCTATTTTATTTGACCCAGGTACCTGTGACACCAGCACATACATACTTCAGAGTTAAATGTTTCTGATGGTGATGTTGAAAACTTTGCCTCCAAAAGCACTGGTTGAACACACCCAAAAGTGTCCCTGTAACGACACCGCAGCACGCCGGGGCTGAGTGGCAGTCACGAGCTTTGCCCAGTGCTTCCCCAGTGGGAAGTCGTGGCGGGCAGCAGACCGGCCACGCACGCTCGGTGCCTCTTCAGCGCTCGCCCAGAAGCCTCCACATCCATTGCTCTGTTTCAGGGTGAAGGCACTGCCCTCAGTTCAAACAACTGTGTCACTTAATCAAGCATCTGAAATAATTAGCTACAGCAATAAAACATGAAAAATCTGTATTAAAGGAAGGCGTTGATATCGGTCCATTGTGGCTTGACTTAATTTTCCCTTCCTAATTAGGGCACTGCCATTTCTCAGAATGGTTTTAAGCGTGTTTTATTAAATCTGTAACAGTGATGTTCTGAAGCTTACCTCTTAGCAGAAAGCTCCTTAATGCAGTACACAGATGCTCTGAAAATTGTGTTAAGAGAAGTTTTGCAGAACAGCTCCTTCCCAGGTACTCCAAGCTCATCAGAAGTAGCTGGTGGCAGCAGACAGGGTGTAGGGGAGGGCAGATGAGCGTCTCTCCTACCCTATCAAATAAACCATTGGCTCCTATTTGAAATGAAGCCACTTACTGCTGAACTGCCTTACCCGTGCGTGACGGGATCAGTCCCCATATGAAAACAGTGGCATTATGAATATATTGTATTATGTTGTGGATTAAAAAAACGAGGCTTGGAAACTCCTGGAGATTCTTCCACCAACTCATGTTTATCCTTCTGTGGCTGAATTTGATTGCTTATTCCTTCCTTCCCTTCCACATATTGAGCCTGGATTTGTTACAAAACTGTACTCCGTGCCTCAATGCACGTGCCTCAGCACTGCACCTGAAAAGCTGCCCACAGAAACACGCACCGCCAGTATAAAGCAGCCGGGATAGCACTGCAAGTGGAACTGATGTTTTCTGCTCCCCAGCCCTAGGCCATGCTAGACTGCACTCCTCTGGGGGTTAAGTACAATAAGCACGTGTCACGTTGTCATGCCTAACACCTCTGCCCCACCCTAGGGATTTTAAAGATGTCGAAGCTGCCTTAAATGCCATGAAGAACGTTGCTCGGCTCATCAATGAGCGAAAGCGGCGGCTGGAGAACATTGACAAAATTGCTCAGTGGCAGAGTTCCATAGAAGACTGGGAGGTAAGAGACTTTCCTCATGAACTCAATGTTCTGTGTTGCCCCTCTTCGCCCTCTCCAACAGCTTCTGCCTACAGCGAGATCTTCGTAAGGATTGCTATCTAGCCCTACCTCAGTGCTGCTCCCCCTCTTTGTTTGGTTTTTGAGTTTTTATTTAAACAGAAGTGCTCTTTTAGTACAATGGCAAAGGTCTAGCACATAACCCAGCTTGACCAGCTGCCTTTGCATCTTCCTGGGACTTTTGCTTCCACATTTTCCTTGTAGAATAAAATTAGCATGGAGGTTAGTGAAATCCCATTATTTTCCTCTTGCCTCATTTTATCTTGAGTGATTTCAAACTCTCAGGATGACCTGAATTGCCCCTTAATGCTTAATAAACCACATTATTCTTGCAGAAAGCAAGCTCTGATATAGCGATACAGGAAGCCAAGGTTCCCTGTAGACTCATTAAATAAAAAAAAAATAATTGCTAAATAAAAGAAACAAACCTACTGATTTTCTAATTCCTAGACTCGATAAAAGCAGACTGGCTCCCTCCCCAAGGATGTCAGGCTAAGTTCTCAGCTCTCTGCTGATGTGCCTCCTTTAATGTCAGGGATGGATGAGCTGTCCTGAGCAGAAAAGGAGGTGTTTTTCTTTTTCATCTCACACACTATTGTTCATATCAACTTCAGTTCCCATTCCCTGGGTGCCAAGGGCACAGTGCCTCCCTGCTGTGACAAGGACTGTCGTCCAGCACAGAGGCTCCCCCTCATGCCCAGAAGAGTTTTGTCAGCAGGAATTCAGGCCCCACAGCCAAGCTGAGGTTCTCCTACGAGACTACAGGCTTATTTCTTCTCCCCTGTTTTCATGATGGCCAAGACCAACCTGTTCTTTGTGCTGTTCTCAGGGTGAAGATGTCCTAGTCAGAAGCTCAGAACTCATCTATTCTGGAGAATTAACCAAGATCTCCCACCCTCAAGCCAAGAGCCAACAGAGGATGTTCTTCCTCTTTGACCACCAGCTTGTCTGCTGCAAGAAGGTAACCTCACCAGCCAGGCACGAATGCGATCTATTACAATGCTGAAGAATTTAAGTGAACTCCCCCTCTACCCCTTTGTTTTCTTAATACCTGCTGGCATCATGTGCCTGTGGCACAGATATCTTTGTGTGCAGTCCTTGCAGTCTTTTCTCTGATATCCTGGTGTGGTCTGTGCACCTGACCACAGCAATAACCTACAGGAACTAACTATGGGCCGAATTCTTACAGGAAGAGAGGAAACCATTGCACTGCTTCTAGAGTGGGTTTATTTTATACAACTCAGATATGAGCAACTGTCACCCATTTTCTCTTTTTCAACTGCACTTTCATGTGAGATTTCTATCGTATTCAGAAGGTAACTGCAGCTTTGATGAAGAGCTGTGGGCCTTGACGGTCAATAAGACCATAATCAACATCATATTTAAGTCTTAAGTACAGCCCATGCTATTTTTCATGACCTAAGTAATAAAAGAAATCTTCTTTCACAGAGCAAATGAAAGTTACCTTCCACTGGAATTTCAGAATGGAACATGCCAATTTTTTTTTGCATAATCCAGGACATAGAGGTAGCTCCAGGTTACTTAGGCACGAGATCCTCACTGTGAGATCACTGCTCTCAAATTTACTTTTCACTGTCAACACAAAAACCAGAAGCTACAGAAAGTAATTAGGGTGGGGTTTTTTTTTTGTTCGTTTTTTGGGGTTTTTTTTTGTTTGTTTGTTTGTTTGTTTGGGTTTTTTTTGCTTTCTAACTGGGACTGTAGGATTCAAACCCAATTCTCTGACACAGGTTTAGTGAAGCTTTGGGATCACATGCAATAACACAAGCTTGCTTCTCACTCCGAGCTCTTCAGGGCAGCTGGTAGCCCACAGCGGCGGGTGCCAGCCAATCCTGACCCCACCACTCAGAGAAACCGTGCGACTCCCCTGAGCGCCAACGGTGTCAACAGGAGCTCAGCACTCTGCAATTCCACTGATTCAAATCAGTATCAGTTTTTTCTTACAGGACAGCAATGACCGACAAGATTAAATACTCCATCATATCAAAGCAAATGAATGTTTAAGGAAGGGACAGGACAGGAAACAGTAATGTCTGTATGAGTCTCTGTGATCTCTCTTACAGGACCTTCTGCGCCGGGACATCTTGTATTATAAGAGTCGGATCAACATGGATGATATGGAAATACTGGATGTAGAAGACGGGAAGGACAAGGACTTCAATATCAGTGTGAAAAATGCATTTAAATTGCACTGCCGAGACACTGAGGAAGTCCACATATTCTGTGCAAAAAAGCCTGAGCAGAAACAGCGTTGGCTAAAGGCATTTGAGAATGAAAGGAGACAGGTTCAGCTCGATCAGGAGACAGGTATGGAAAGAGCAGTGCTGTGAGACAGGGGGTTTTGGCCTTTCTGTTCGTTCTTCTTTTTTTACCCACCAGCCAATGCCTAGGAGTAAAAGGGCAGGGAAGTCAGTCCATGCTCCAGTCCAGCTCTGGGCTGCTGAATCACACATTCTGAATGAATGCATGCAACTGGAAAGAAAAAAAAAAAAAAAAAACCAAAACCCCAACAGACACAGCAGTATGTCCTCAGGGAGGGTGATGTGTCTTTAATGAGTTCAGGCAGGGCTGACAAAATAGTCAATACATTACATACAGCTTCCATTATTTTGCAGTACAGGGTGAGTGCCCAATTTGACAATATCCATACAAAACATGTTCAGTCAAGGGTTCTCATTGTGAGAGAGGGTTTTCATTGTTTTGACCAAATCCTGCTTAATTCAGACTTGTATGATCTAATGAGATTTGAACCACAACTGGTCTGGACTGGCAGGGGGGGAGGGCAGGCAGGAAACTTTGCATGAGAGGTAGAGAGAATGGGGCAGCACAGCACAGGCTGGGGGGAGCAGTATGTGCCCCTTCCAGCTCTGGGAGTAACTTTAACTTGTGGCCTCTCACCTCACATTGTCCTATCCCTGTATTTCCCTCGCTGTCTATACAAGATATAAAATGAAGACCTCCCACTGACAAACTCTATTTTATCTTCAAGGTTTTTCAATCACAGAGGTGCAGAAAAAGCAGGCAATGCTGAATGCCAGCAAGCAGCACCATACTGGGAAACCCAAGGGTGAGTCACACCTGAACATACAAATGGTGCTAGAACAGGGGGTGGAGGGTGGTTCTATATTTACTATACGGGAATAATTTCAATGAAGTGGCCAGATGGTGAGCTCTGATGTGACAATCTGCAGTGTGGTTCGTGGTAGATTCAGACAGCTGGAGTCAGGAAACTATTCCTAACTACAGGAGAGCTGCTTTGCCAGAAACCAGCTACACACATGCTGGCAGCTTCTGTTCAAAAGCTAGTTCACAGCCCTGCCCTAGAAACCATGCTCTCCAAGCAGTATGGCATTCCCTTTGTGAAAAGAAAAGATTAAGTTTTGTAGTGCTCCCCATGATGCAAAGAGTCATAAAGGTCACTGCAGCAGGGACTGCTCCTGCCCGGGCAGTCGTGCCTGTGGAAGATGCTTTGAGACCTGCGCTGGCAGCAGAATGCCCTGGGGAGGTACCACGCTCAGTGACAGAGCTGTTTGTTAAACCTCTAAGAGATAAGGAAGATTTAGCAGCAGCCGGGGGGGGGCATCAACTCAAGCAACAGAAAGGAAGGTTCCCGTGCGCACAGCGCTGTTAGCTGAAGGTTCCTGCTACCTCATTTTGTGATGCCACCTCTTTATATCCAGAGGAAGAGATGTCACTTGTTTTCCTCTGGACTCACAGCGAGGCAACCGCTTCCTTGTGGTGGTACCAGCCAGCAGTTAAATCCTAGCCAAGCCTCCAGTAAGAAAGCTTGGCTAAATTTCAAAGTCAGTCAGAAGTAAGATTTGGCTGCAAACAGGGGGAAGCTCGGAAGGAGGCCAGAGCTCTGGAAGAGCGCAAAGCCCTCGGGGAGAGGCAGGAGAGAGGCGCCAGGAGCCAGCCCTGGCTGCAGGCATAGGCACCGACCATGCAGTGCAGGCAGGTGTAGCAGGCAGCAGCAGCCACAGGCACAGCAGCTGCTTCTGCCCAAACAACCAAGGGCACCCGTTAAGTTTGTCACTAATGACGTGCTACAGCTATTTAGCCCTGCTGTCATGTTGGCAGAACTGCTGTCAGTGCTGCTTCACCTTTCTGGGACTTCCACAGCATCAAGAGTAATCCTAAAAAGCAGTGCTGAAACCAAGGGTAACAACACTAAGACTAACCCAGTTCGTGCCCCTTTAACAGCGGTCGGGCAAGGGAGCTGTGCTCAACTAACATGCCTCCCCTCTCCTCCTCCTCACCACAGCTGTCACCAGGCCATACTATGACTTTCTGATGCGTCAGAAGCATCCCACCCTGCCTACTACGCTCCCTCAGCAGCAAGTCTTCATGCTGGCAGAGCCCAAGCGCAAGCCCTCGAACTTCTGGCAGAACATCAGCAGGCTGACGCCCTTCCGGAAATAAGGGCAGCCCCGTGTTTGTGCCTGAACCCCTTCTGAGAAAAAGCACTTTATCCGTCAGTCCTGGGAGGTGGAGCCCAGGTTCTCCCGATCCTTTGTTTACAGAGGATGGCACATGTGCTCCTGACTTCCCTATTTATTTTCCAGACCAACTGACCGCACTGGCCCTGAGGTGAGACACCGCATGGGTGCTTGCACACACGTGTGCGTTTGTGCCAGTCCCATCGAGCCAGCCTTGCACAGTGCCCAAGAGGCAAACCTCCAGGAAGAGATCACGGGGAGGGAGCCTGACACCTTCCACCTGAAAAGATCCTGCTTGCCAGCTGTACCCGGCCTCGCTCCTTCCCGCTGTGGCCACTCCTGCTGCCAGGCAGGCGCCGGAGGGGAGGGCAGACCCCGCGCCCGCGGCTCCCTGCCCACCGCCACGCTCGGAGCAGCAGCTCAGGCGCTGACAGGATGCATTTCCCATGGAGGGATAAACCCTTCTGCTCTCTGCCCACCCCCTCCCCCCATTTCTCAGACATGACATGATCCTCCTACGCATGGCTAACTAATTCAGTTAGCCTTTGCAGGCGCTCAGACAAGGCAACAGTGAGTACTGCACTGTGACCTTTTCCTTTCCTTTAGGTTCAACACCACTGATGAACTATATAGTACATTAAACCATGCCAAGCAACCTGCAGCATGAGTAAAGTTCAAGAATCTCTCTAGTGGGTTTGAGTTACATAAGTTAGAGAAAAATGTGCCTAATTAATACTGTACTCAGTTCCTTAGATTCTCGTCTCTCCATCATTCTGCCATATTTCCTGGCCAATGAAAATGCTCATTGTTTGTAATGTGTTTATTTATGGTAAAAATCAGAACTGTGTATTTTGTAAGTCTGTAATTGTTCTTGTCAGATGTTAACTTGATGCCTGTTTTGTCTGTTTTGGTTTGGTTTGTTTTTTTCTTTTTTTTTTTTCGTTTGTTTGGGGTTTTTTTAAAGAAAGGTCAATATTTGCAAACCTAGCTCCCAGAAGTCAGAGTGTACAGTTCAAACAGAAAGACTAAAACCATGGTTGTTATGTAAACTCCCCCAGAGCCTCAATTCAAGGGGTATTACTACAGGTTTTTGTTACCTTTGAAAAATTGAAAGTCTCTTTAAAAAGGCCTAAATTTGGCATTAAGAGCCTCACTTTAAGTACCCAAGTTTCAAACTGTGGCCAAAAAGAATTCATTTAAACCTCGGTTAGCAAAAGGAAAGATTTGCCTTACCACAGCAAGAGTTAGAAGCCATACTGACTGAATTCCCTAGCTTAGGAAACATCCTGTGACATTGGAAGGAAGACACCTGCTCATTCCAACACGATGCTAGGGTGAGTGAGCACTGTCTGCAAAGCTCAGAAATCCAGTGTTTGTTGATGCTGTAGCTGACCAGAGTCTGGTCATCCAGGGATATCTGAATTCAGTAGCATGTACAAAGTCATTCTTGCACTATATCTTCCCCCCAGACCAGGGGCAACATTTACTTTCATAAAGAAACTTGTAAAAGTGACTCTCAGCCTGTGTTTGTCTCCAGCACGTCTATCTGTGTGAACTTGTTTCTCTTCAAAGTCACTGTAGAGATTCTGCTCTTGCAGCTTAAAAAGTGGCCGCTTATCAGTACAAGCCTTGCCAGAAGGTTACGCTCAAAGCCATCCTTTGGATGGAAGACTGGTGAAGCAGAGACAGTACCAGAGAGGTGCAGGTCAGTCAGAACCCTCATGAAGGTTTAGCAAGCCTCCAGCTCCCAGATTGCTGCTAGTTACTTAAATGGAAAACATGTCTAGGAAACATCAAAAAAGCTGCAGGGGATGCTCGAGCCCACTTTGAGCAATATGGAATTAAAGAGGACTAGTGAACACCGAGAAATAAGAAATGTACTTGAAAGAGAAGCCAGCTTCCCCTCCCAGGCCCTGGCCACCCGCACAGCCTGCAGCCTGCTCCCCTGCCCTTATTCCTTGGAATACACACACTGCCACGCTCTCCTAGGCAGGACCACGAGTGACATAGCCATTCAATATGGTCCTGCAGAGAGTAGTCACCCAAAAAATCCACAAAAACCCCTAAACCTTCCCTCTCAGGCAGAAGCACAAAAGATGGCTGCCCAGGGCAGGTTTAGCACTTCCCTCCGCCACGTCACCCCACGCAATGGAGGAAAATGGGGCTTACCAAACTGGAAGCAGAGCCTCGAGGTGCTGCCTGAACCAGCAGTCAGTTACAGGTCCGGTCTGCCCTTTGCCAAAAAGGCCTCTCAGATGGGTGCAGGAGTTGGGAAAACAAGCCAGTGGGACGCTGCAGGAAGGGCCTTCAAACACTGCACAAACAGAGGTGGTTCACTAGAACTGGGAGGGGGAAAACAACCAACCAACACTAAACCAAACCCCTAACCAGCCCTCATTTGCACGTGACAGCCACGTCTTGTCCCTTCACCCCCCCACACCCGCCCTGAGCCCTGGCTAAACTCCCCTCATGGGCCAGGGCACAGTGACAGCCTGGGCTTTTAGCAGCCAGCGTGATCTTTTGACAGTTGGGGCTCCCAACCTGAACTAAGATACAGAACATCCATTCTCTACACTTGAGAAGACAGTGTGTCAATAATTGGGAGGGGGGCTGGGGACACGTGCAGAATAAAAAAAATCAGCTTCTAGAAGAAGCCACTGAGATGAGGCTCCACTACATACTTCTTGCCAAGTATCAAAATTAACAGCGACACCTCCCAGAGCCATGCCAGGTTACTCAGTACTGTACATGCCATGAGCATGACAAGGTCTGGACATCCCCCGCAGCCCCCCCATCCCCATTCTAAATGCTACTAAGAGCTGCCTGTCCCCAGCATGGCCTCTGCTAAATCCCGGAGGCTGCCACCAGTCTGCCCTGACGCCCTGGCAGGGGGAGGGCAGAAGCTGCACTGAGCTAACCCAGCCCTGGCAAACAGCGTTCCTCGGCGCCGGGGCTTCACCAGCCCCCCCTGCTCCCACAGCTACCCCAAGATTAGCATAATGCCCCTTGCAACAACAAACATTCACCCCTCCAACAAGCTTAAGCCTTCGCAAGCCCCTTCAGGTGAACACGCCCGTGCTTGCTGCCTGCCCGAGGCACAAGCGTTGGCCCAAGAAGCGCTGCTGCACTCGCCCTGAGCAGAGCCACGCTCCCGTGCGACGCCGCAGCATCCCCAGGGCTGCGTCATCCCAGCCAGCACCCCTCAGTAACAGAAGGCAACGGTCACACTTTTGTGTTTACCCTCGGTGTCTGCACCCTCCTTTCCTTATCCATGGTGTGTTTGTTTTGATTGGCCAGGAAGAAAATCTGTTGGGACAGGAACGATCAATTTTGCTGAGCGTATTAGTAAGTGGGGAGGAATGCTGGCTTGGGCCAGTGAACCAGGGCTGGCAGGGACCACTGGACAAGTCCCCCCACAACACACCCCCCCCCCCAAAGCAAGACCAACCGCATCAGGCTGCTCATGGTCTTGTCCAGTTGCAGTCCAAGTGTGCTTAAGGATCGAGTTGCCTCCAAAACCTCTTTGGGTCCCTGTTCAATACCTCACTGTCTCCATTACGAAAACCACTTTTTAACGTCTGTTCAAAGTTTCCCTTGCTGCAACTTCCAACCTGTTTTTAATTTGTATGTTGCTTTATACACTCAGCTTTACATTGAAGTCACTCCAGTGCAAATCCTGACCTATGCCACTGAACGAAGTGGGGTGACAGCGGCACAGTACCCTGAAGTGCAGCAGCTTTGAAGGGCAACAACAAACACCCCTGCCCTCCCCCCGCTAAAACAGACATAAGAATTGGCTACTATTAATCATCCATGTAATAATACTCTGAACACTAAATGTGCATCACGTTATTTAAATTACCAGATTATTTACCACCTCTTCCAGAACTTACTACATATCTAACCAGTGCACACAAACAATTTATAGAAAGATTCCTACATAAAGATTCTAAGTGCCAAAACAGACTTCTCTGGCCAAACAGTATACCCGTCAATGAAAAGTTGTTTATTTCTGGTAGAGAAATACATTCTCTACTTGACTGCCTACTGTTACTCTTCCTAAGAAGTGTCTTCAGCTGGGATTCTAGTCTTGCAAGAAACATTTGGAGCTAGGATCCGATCCCCTATGCAAGCCTGAAATCAGGTATAAAGGCTCACCACGCTGAAAGAGGTGGAAACCTTGTAACACAGTAGGTGGAGTTACAGCAATGACACTGATAAACAAGAGCAGACTCACTTTGCTCAACATACCTACCCACACATCGGCATGTGAACAGACCACTCCGTAAATCTGAAGAGGATTTGTCATCAAGAAATGCAATCCCTTCTTTTCTACCCAGCACTACTTCCTGATTCTCTAACCACAAAACCTATTATTTCCTGAACAAACTGTGTGTCGGATCATGTGTAACCTCCATTGGTTTTCAGTGATTAGACACTCAAAAGTCATTTCATCTCCTAAGTTACTGATTAAATGGTAAAATGTGCGTGTGTCACAGTGGTAACAGACTAACCAACACTGAATCTCCCTCCTCTTCACCCTGGCATGTGGATTTTGAATGGAGTTACTCACATTGTACCGTCAATTAAAAGTATCAGGGAGAACACGTGTGTAAGACAAAGCGTTCATGTACATGTTACATAGATTCACAAGATCATCATCTAAACTCGTAATAAACGGGCTTTCTGGCATACGAACAACTCAAGTACAGCTTCTGTCAAGCTGTCTGAGATAAAGGACAACACAATCTTACCAGATTAACAAGAGTCCGTTTGAAATACGAAAAAGCGGAGATTTGAGACTTCAGCACCCACTCCTCTCCTCTGGAGATGAACCTTCTACATGGCCAGAGACACAGATTTTCATGCAAAACAAACTGAAGTTCCTGACATGAATCTGAACAGCACCAGTCATTCCAGATTTCAGAGTAGAAACCACCTATCTGCTCGGAAAAATACTTCTGCTATTGAGTTGTATGAAAAGGACAAGATGACTGGTTCCAGGGGTGGTTTGGAGGTTTTTTTAGGGGTTTTGGTTCTAATTGTTCCTCTCGTTCTGTAGATATCTGTTTAGGAAGCTTCTTGTGAAAAACCACCATGTTTCTTAATGAGTAAAATCTCCCCAGATTTCACTTGGACAAGTAAGAACACAGACTTACGTAAAGCATGTGAATCAATCAGAAGAATGACTTGCTGAAGCTATCAGTAAAATGAACAGAACCAGTGGCTGCTAGACAATCTAGTGTCTGCTCTGCCAAAAGAAATAATAATAAAAAAAATCTATGTTGAACTATTAGTTTGGAATAACTGAGTCAGAAAATGCGGGTGTATACACTAGAAAAATGCCTATGCTTCAAGTTTTGTTAGAATCAGCAGTACAAACTGTCACTGTACTAAATCAAAATGACAAATAGATCAACTCCCATGGAGCCAGAGGTTCCCATGAAGCAGCCGTTGGAACCTTTCCTGTTTCATCCATTACCTGAAGAGCAGTGGGGTGCGGGGGGAGGAGCCCCCCTTCCCTCCGGCCTAGTCCACAGTCCATCGCCCCGCGGCGACACGCTGCGGGAAATCCCAGCTGCCCAGGACGCTGCTCCGCAAAACCAGCCCATCCCTCTGCCACCCAGAGGCCCCCGACAGCTTCCCGGGACCCCGGAGAGCCAGGGCTCCCTGCCCGTGACCGGGACAGCTGAAAATGAGGGACCTACAACTAACAGACACGCCAAGAGAATCTCAGCTGCAGGCTGAAAAGGGTGCATTTCTTGGGATGCCAGAATGACAGAAAGAGTTTTTCTTAAGAAAAAGGCCTTTCTTCTTTTGCAATATATGTCAAAATATGACTGTGCTCCTCCAGATTTACTGTAGTGAAAGCGTGTCTTCTTCTAACAGCAGAGTTAAATATATCAACCTTGCCACTGATTTTTAGTATTGCTCTTCTGAACAAATATTTTACCACTTGCTACACAGACTACTTTAGAACTTTATCAGCATCTGTGAAGTGGCACAGCTTACAGCAAGTGCTAATTTCTTATTTTACTGTTGTTACTTTAACTGTTTTCAGTTCTCACGTCAAGTTCCCCACATACCTGCTAACGAGGGTTATGGCACTGCAGTACCCATTTGGACAGCTAATACAGTAGTACACTAATTCCTGAAGCTTTAAGAACGGAGCTGGTCACACTTCATTCAACTGCTGGAGCCTCAGCCTGTACCTGCTGCTACTCAAGTTTTCTACTAAAGTTAGCAGGACTTGCCACTGCTACTGACAAGTAGCAGCACCACATCCATACAATCATAATGTCTCACCTACGATGCCCTGTACCAGCCCACCAGTAGAAAGTCCCTGTCCCCAGAGCTCCCTGCTGACACAAAGCAGTAGGATCAGGTCTTCAGGTAAGTAACAGGCTAAATAATAAGAGCTTTGGTAACGGATAGGAATTACCTGAAAAAAATCTGAGGTGTTTTCAGATTATTTTAAGCCACTGAAGTTACAGTGTTGTTAATTCAGTTTGATAGTGCAGGGGAGGGAATCCATTTTCAAAGCAGCAGAGACCAATCAAGGCAACCCATTTCAGAGCTAAGCTGGCACGAGGTGGCAGTCAAAACCATGGCACGGCAGCAGCCACAATGCACCCTGCATTTTTCCACCGAGTGCTACACAGATCAGGGTTGGGTATCTGAGGATGGCCTACCGCACCCGCAAGAACACCAGCGACCTGGATTTCACTTGCCTTTACACTCAGAGCCACACAGCTTCGGGCTCGCGAGGGGCCGAAGGGCGCTCGCTCCTTCCCAGCCACGCAGCAACCGCAGCTTGCCCTGCCCTGGGATTAACACCTCACACCACATTTCATTTCTCACGTCTCCCACGTTTCCTGAACAACAAGCTACATTACTAAAATCCCATGGCTTTGGCAGTGCTGGTGGTTTTAGGGAAATATACAGGCTGCTTGTTCTTTTCTTTTTGCACAACACTCCTGTCACTTCCTTCCCTGCAACTACGCCACTCTTCTCTGCACACAGCGAGCTTTTCTTTTGCACAACTTTCCTACCAAAGCAGCTCCCTGTTTTACAGCCTGTGCAAATGGAATACCTGTGATATTTAACCCCGACTTGTGTACCTTTGTGTGTGACTGTTTACATTTGTGAGATGGGAAATAAACAAGCTATCAACTTTACTTTTGCCTAATTCTGTAATCCTCCCATAAAACATTAACTACCAGGTATACACAATAAGCCTTTATACCTGCCATAATCAAATGGAGCTACGTAACAGTATTCTGCCTAAGAGTTCCTTCTATCTTTCCACACCTGCTTCTTCCCCCCTTTCTTAGAAGTAGCAGCCTGCCTGCACATCTATTAGCTGGGCTTGATGACAGTATTTTCTTTAACCTCCAGCAACCTCAAACAATACACTTGCTGTCTAAATCACACCATCAAGAAAATCCTCACCTCCAGCAGCCGCCACGTTAGCATTCGTGCGTTGAAAGCGGGCACAGCATTTGGTCTCCACCGTGAGGTTCACATGATCACAATTCTTACAATAAGGCTGGTAAAAGCGAAACTGCGGAAAGGCGTGCTCCCCCTCCCTCTTTCTGAAGCATTATTTTGTCCCTATATTTTACCTTTCTTGCCCAGAAAACAACAAGCTATTGTAAAACACTGCAAAATATACTCATATAGCCCAAAAATGAAGGTCCAGTTACACTAATTTAAGCTGGCATTTGGGCTACTCGGTGCCAAGTTTTCTCTGTCAAGTTTGTGTTTGAAGTATCTTTTAGTCCACCAAGGTCTATAGCTACGGGTTACTCGCACCCAGGAGGCTCAGCACTCTTCCCTGGAGGTCTGCCATTCCCTCCGTCACACAGACGATACAGCTTCCCGTAGCTACCAAGCACCTCTTACAGCTGTGCAGTTTTTTAAAAACTTTCTTTAAAGTAGTCACATGGACTCCATTCTACTCTGGATGATTAAAATAGGATAGCTAATAGCCCGAGGGATTATTGAAATAAAATCCAGGAGAGCACTTAAGCCTCCCACACACAAATCAGACATTTTATCCACGTAATGCAGCAACACCGTCTACCTCAGCACTGTGACTGACATTTCCTACAAAGGCAAATTACCATCTCAATAATCATCAACACATCACTCCCAATTCCAGGGGAGCTCACCAGCAAAACTATTTGTGTCACCTGACTTTGTCTACAGCGAACTCTACGTGGAGTTTGGAATCTAAAGCTAGATGTTAGAAAAAGCAAGCTTGCTTTTTGTCAAGAAAACCTGAAACTCAAAAATTCTTGCCTTATTTCTAACAATCAGTTAGAATAGAACTTAGCAGTTACTTTACTGGAAGGGGCTCTGGCTGTTATCAAATGTTCAAAGCTGCCTCTAAAATGAGGGGAGTTCTCAATGCATCTAACCTTCACAGAAAGTAACTAAGCCACTCAGCAGCAAGGAAGCGGGAGAGTAACGCGCAGCACAATGTCCCTGCAAAATGTATCTGGGAAGAGGGAAAAATCAAACCATTACTGACCCACCATTTGAGAAGTTCCATAGATACATTTGAAACAAACAACAAAGAAGTCCCATATACAGACTTAGAAGTTCTGTATCATGTTATGAGTGTCAGATACAGTACAAAGTAATCCTCGCCAACAACAGACCGTCACAAGGACTACATCAGAATCCCCCTAACCCAAGAATGATCAGCATAATTCTGAAGAACAGTATTAATTTCCCCTTTATATCCTCCCAGATTCCAGCAACCCACTGGTTCAGGATAATGAATTCTCATCAGCTCCAGTGATCTGCAAAACAACTCCTGAACCTATTGACCTGTAAAACAAAAGTGACCCCAGGATAACTGACCAGCAATTAGCTTGAGGTAAAAACGCACTGAAAAAAATCTGTCCACGGGATACCTAGAGCTTGGCTACTATTTTAGAAGCTCAGCTGCTTGTCTAAACAGTGTAACACACCTGTAGCAATAATCTCAAAAACAAACTGCTATTTCTGCAGACTGATGCAGTTACTGACATTATACCTTCCTCTTCCACACGCGTTGCTTTTCACAGGAACGTTACGAGGCAAGTTATTGTTATTTTTGGAGACCTGCGATAAATGAAAATAGCTGGTTAGTTCAACAGTATAATCCTGTCCCCCCCAAATATACATACTTCCATTTTAACGTTAGTGTCATTTAGAGCCACCCACTCTCTAAAGAAATAGGATAATTACCCACACCTCACACCTACTCAACTCTTTTCCTTCTGGGGAACCTTCAAAGCACTAATTCACAACAGCTTTCTGCTCAAGGCCTGTCACCTCTGAAACAGCATTGATTTGGTATCAAGTAAATGCTAGAGCATTGTGAAATATTACATCTGATCCATTTTCTTTGTTTTAAGCTAGAAAGTAAAGTAGTAAAAAATGAAAACCCCAGGAAACGCATCGAATGGGAATGAGGCAGGGTTGCACCATCTCTACCATACTCTGAAGGCAGGGCAACTTAGGGCAGCTTGTACCCCCTTGGGAAGCCTTTACTACTGTTTTGTTAATCATTAAGAAACCTTATTGAGAAAGTCATTAAACCAATTTAAATGTTTTGCTTAACTTCTATCAATCACCAGATTTCATTAAGAGTTTAAACATACCTTACTGCTATCCGGCAACAGACTCTTGTCTAAAAGGATGTCACCAAAGACAGTAGGAAAAAACCACAATAAGCAACACAAGTCAATCTTTATTGAAAACTGAAGTATTAATACATAACAATTCTTGTTACAATAAACGTGCTTTTAAGAATTTAAATCTGAGCTCATCTACTCATTGAATTGCATAAAAAATAAAAAAGTATGAATTTTCACAATTGAACTGGCTCAGAATGGAATCTCCACTCTTTGTGTTGATGCGATAGTTCAATGCAGGAGTGAGTGATGCCTTAAAACTTATCCTGGAAGACAACATTGACCTAAACTTAAAAAAAGTACCAATACAACTGTTTGTAAGACAGTTTTAAAAAAAGTCATAAAAAGGAAACCTGTGTCTATTCATAACGAACATGGAAAACTATTACTGGGGCCTCTTGTACTTCCATTGCATGCACTCACTTTTTCAAATCTTAGACAGGAGGGCAGCCAATAATAGCATTACAATAGAAAAAAAAAACAAAAACAAAAAAACACACTAACAAATCCATTCTACTTAAAACAAGTCTGTACAGCAGCCAGCTAAAAAAGCTTTCCCAGTTTGCCTGCTAAGTGCCCAAAAGTCACAACAGTTTAGAAAAGTCACGTTCACTTTCTTGTTGTTGAAACTTCAGAGCCCATAAATTGTTTAGAATGTTTTCTAAAATCACAAATGGACCCTTATTACCTGCGGAATTCAGATGTTTCAGTGTTATATTCAACCCACACAAGAAAAGGTTTCCTCGTCCCCAGATAAGCACTGTTCTTCTGTCTCTTCTGTCTACAAAACACACCTGATTTTCTCTCAACACCCTCCCGAACAAGAGGCATACACAGCCTGCTGAAAGAGTCCTCGCTACTTCAAAGGAGATCTCAGAATGGACTTGATTCCTGGCGAGGCTTGATGCACAAAACTATCTTAACTTTGCTGCAGTTGCTCCTGTTAATTGGCATTCTACCTCATCCGATCTGAGGGTCTCTGCAGGAAGCTTAGAGTTGATAAAATACACGGTTAGAAAGCTGAAACTTATTAATGAGAACAACCCAAGCGAGCTTGAATCTTCGCGTCTTTTGAACAGGTGTTCACAAACCCTGGGATGTGAGAGTGAACGGATTGCTCTGCCCCCCGCACACGCCAGGCCCGGCCCGTGACGCCCACGGCAGCCTGGCCCCGGCCCCTCCCTCGCCCCCACTGCTGCACACGCCGCCCTGCAGCCACCCCAGCACCTGGCCCTCTGCCCACCAGTTCCAGCTGAAGCACCGCGTTTGTTCGTGGCCCGAGATGAGAGGTTTCACATACACGGTATTCACCGCTCCCTGGTACGAGTTTAAGCCTACGGTCCAGTGGTGGTATCGGATCGCTGTGTTTATCTATTCAAGCAGAAGTATGTTTTAAACCCAAATGAATGGTGTATAATACCGTGCTCAAGCCCTGGGGGATGATTCCAAGTCAATTCTGACCATCTCTTGCTCCGATACCTTAAGTGGCCATACTACCAAGTAGCAGTGAAGAGGAGTAGTCACCGTCGAGTACCCTGGTATAAACTCTGTACCATGAACTATTCTCAGACAACACTAAGACATGTTGGTACTTACAGGTGGTGATGGTGGTTTGGGGTTTTGTTTGTTTTTTTTTTTTTTTTTTTTTTTCTTTTTCTTCCTCCAGTGGATGAAGTGATACAAGGAAGGACTTCAACTAAAATAAAGAATTTTCTTCATCTACCACTGCATCTAAGCCTTTAGCTTGCACAGTACATGCAAAAAGCTTTCTTGAACAGCATTCCTGCACATCCCCTAGAAACTTCAAACAGGAGATGGTTACAACAAGCATAAGCAAGATCTAGTAGTAGGTTCTCTGTTTTCCTTCCTAGTGTTTCATTAATAACCACCACACCACTGACTAGGGCTACATGTTTTTGGTGCCAATTACGAGCCATTTTTTCTTTTGCTGCTGCTACATTTAAAAGACATTTTCATCAGTTGTTACTGGCATAGGGAATACCTCAGTTTTTAAAAAATACTTTATCTAAACTCAACACCTGAAATTTGAATTAAAAAAAAATTTAAAAAGACAAAAAAAAAAAAAAAAATCTTTCTTGGACTTCTCTTTGTTATTGCTGCAACAGTTATTTTCAGTTCTAGGTTTAAAGTAGTACTTTTTTTTTAATCATATAAAGCTGCCATCAAAGATTTTTGTTTGTTTGGTTGTTTTTTTTGTTTTGTTTTGGTTTTTTTTGTTGTTTTTTTATTTTTTTTTTTTTTTAAAGAGAAGCTTGATCTGAAATGTCTCTACTGCACTAGCTCTTTTCAATTGCTGAGGAGCTCTAGTGCAAACACATACTGTGTATTTATTTATAAAGGAATTCTAAATAGGGAATGTTATATAAAAAGCAGGAGAGAATGTTTCGTAAGACCCTCACTGTGTAAACGCCTATTTAATGATGTACAGTTTCCCCCACTGCAGTTTTATATCCATGCTTTCTACTATTTGCAACAAAATACCATTAAGATAGTTATATATACACATATTCCCCCCGTCCCCCTGCACTGTGCTTTTGGTTACTTTCCTTATCAACTACTGGAGACATGCTCCACCTTCCCAGTAGATTATAATCTATCAAAACTGGAAGGTGCAGCACCTTTTAAAAAAGGTACAAGTTTCCCCCTCGTGGATGAATCCCATAATGCAACTTAGAAAAAAAAGTGCTCAAGTTAAGTGAGACTGCCTAAATGTTATGGAATATTATACAGAGACCAATTCCAAGATGACATTTAGGAATCTGAAGTTAGAGCAAGTATATAGGAAGTTATATTCATTCCTTAAGTATCCATCTATTGCAGCATTCATGAAAGCTCTCTCCTATGATTTTCAAAGCTTTAGTTTACTGGGTGATGAGACAGGAGACAGCAAAGCTCCGAGCTTGTTCTTCACAGCTTCTCCCCAATATAGCACTGTTTCATACCTCAGCTCTTCGTCAAAATCATGCTAAGACAACAAAATGTCACTCTCTACCAGCTAAAATGGACAAATGGCCTGTATTAATGCTCACTGTACTCTCTGGCACACCTGACTAATCAAAGCTGCAAATCTACTACACAAATGGAATTGTTGAACAGACTTGAACGAAGCAGTACAGATTCAAATAAGTTCATCTGGGGTAATTTTCTGCTCCATATAAAAACATATGGAAATCCCTAAGCTGCAGTAAGTGCTCATGAGTAAGATTTAAAGTACTTATTCCAACAACATAGTTATGTTCATGGCATTAGAAATAAGGGGGCTGTCCACTGACAGTGATTCATGCAAAATAAACCTAACTTTATTAAACAAACAACAAAAAAAAAAGAGGAAGTACAAAATATGGAGAGTGCTTACTGTAAAAAATAAAGTTACTGAAGGCTCTAACCACCAATGGGTCATGAAGGTATGTAAGCCTCCCACCAGGGCAAAGTACTGGAATGGCAGCATTAAATCAGCACTGATGCTACCCTGAGGTAGCTGCCAAATCTGTATAGGAGCAGAACACCCCAAAACAAAGCACAACTAGATACACAACTTAAAAAATTACTTCTGAATGGAAGTTAACCTACAGGAACAATACAGCCTGATATACCTCTGTATAAACGCTTAAAAGGGAACAACATTTTATAACCATTTACTGCATAATTTATTGCAGGCAGAATGTATCCAAAAAAAGAAAACTGCCTCCTTCTGGAATCGTAAGTCAATCAGGTTTAAGAAAAACCTTGATTTTATGTGCAATATTCAAATTTAAAAATTTAAAATCTCCCCCCATAACAATTTTGGTATACAAATGGGTTGCAAGGCTAGCCCTTTATCCCCACAGCATTTGCTTTGAGGTACTTTTTAAAAATTGAAGTTGCAAGAAAGAATATCAGAAATTACTCATTGTAATGAAATGCTAATCTGCAGTCAAGTCTTATTTTACGTGCTTCCGAGTTAAAAAAAAATACCAAGAAAACACATCAAAATGTTGTAACCAACAAATGGTTCCCACTTCAATTACAGATAATTTCATGACCAGAAAAAAAAAAAAGACTGAACAGCCATGTGAGACCTATATTCTGGCAGCCCTACTACAGCATATCCACAGTCCATACTGCAAGTAGCTAATAAGGAAATTGTGTTAAAATGATTTGTTCCCCTTTAACATACTCATCAGGCACACAAGCTTTCCTCAGAACAACATGCAGCTGAACTGTTTGTTGTAGAAAGCTCTAGCATTTCTTAAGTTTCAGGAAAGCAAGCTGGATCAACTGCACATACGTTTTCAACTGACTACAACATTCTTTAGGAAAAACAACATGGATTTCCTGAACTGAGAACTAAAAGAAAGTGTTTTGCTATCAGTCTGTGTGGCAGTCTCACTTTGACACATCTTGCATCATATGAAAGATAGTACTGAATATGTATCTCCCCAGGACATGCAATTAATTATGCAGGTGATGTCACCTCCTACTATTCCTAAGAGCCAGTTTTGCCTCAAGGAAGTATGCTTTATTTACTGGCACACACAGCATTACCTTTGTCATTTCATTCTGATCTTTAAGAACATCTGTATAACACTGAATCTGTATAATGAAAATGAAAAGGTATGAAGTAAAGTAATTGTGTGCGGGATTTCTACAGCTTGTCTGACTCATTTTCCAGTCACTCCAATTTAGTAGTTGAATTCGAAAAGAATACATCACTTAAATAAAAATATGCCCCTTTTAAACTGGCAACTCCATCAACCTGAAAAAGGCTGAAGCACTTATCTAATGTATATTATGGTATTCTATAAAGAAACTCACTTTCATGATTCTACCTTTTAAGACCCTGCATACATTACAACAGTGCATTAGTGATACAAGTTGTAAAATACTTTTCGGTTCCTTTGGATTTGCATATGATGGTTTTTGCATCAGTCACTGCAGGTAGATTGAGCAAGCTTTGTTTTTGTGTTTTAACATGCATTCAACTAGATATGGATCAGAATAAATTTATACTCCCTTTTTATCATTATAATTAGCTAAAAAATTGCAAGACAGTCCACAAAACAGGATTTGCTTTAAGACTAACTGCTGGAGTTCCAAGATGTAAGATATGCAGCACTGGAAAATCTTCAGTGATCAGGAATTAGTAGTGTTTAGCCAAGTGTTGAAAGCATTCAGAAGAAAAGTCCTGGTTGGAGGCATGAGGGCTTCAGCACCAACTTTTAAACCTCAATTTCTTGATTGCATATCTCCCATCTTCAAACCTACATTGGGGGGGGGAGGGGAGGAGGAAATATTCTCAGTTATTTGAAATACTATTTGAGTGTGGCAGAACATTCTAACATTTCATGCACCACATTGATATGCACACACAATAGATGTTAAGTATTATGTAATGCTAGACTAGCACTTATCCAGTCAACTGAAATCTATAGGCTTCATGGTTAAAAATTCACTACATTGATTTTCTCTTGTCATGTCCATTCCAGCTCTCTGTCATCACTAGTAGTTTTGTCTTAAGTAAAGGTGAAATATTAAAAAGGTGTTTTATGCTAAATTCAATTATGAGCAGTCATGAGTTTAGTCACAGCAAAACTCTCACTTTTTATACTTGCATAATATGACATTCTTGAATAAAATATTGTATGTGAAACATTTCAGATCTGCAGACTGATACGTAGCATCACAGCAAAATGAGAAATGGATGTTGCATTACTAACCCCAAGGGGATACTGTCACCTGTAATCAGAGAACTCTGGACTCCTAACTGCTGAAACAGAAATCCAGATGAAGTTAAAGCAAAGTTGACTTTGTCATAAACTAAACGGACTAAAAGTGAAAATTTTTAATTCAGTTTGCCTGACGAGTCCTTATTTCAAATGAAACTGTTCTCAATTTATGCTAAAAAAACCCAACCCCAACAAAGAAAACCCCAGAAACAGAAGGGAGGATCCCCAAAACATTAGGCTTTGTGTCAGTTTGACACACATTATGCCCCCAAAATCCATCCCACCTTAGATTTCAAGATTAAACTCCTTTTCTTGAAAACCCATGATATAAATTTTGGTCCGCACTATAAATGATTTTTCCACGCTGATTGCAAGAAGTATGAACTGATATGTACTTGAAACAGAGCAAATAGATGAAATTAACTCAAGGTTCTGTATTTGTTTCAGCAGCTTATGAGAAAGATTCACCCTCAGAGCAAGCAAAAACACTCACCTTGCCTACATATTTAGCCAATCAAAAATAAAACTACGAAGTTGCACATACTGCTTCATTCAGGAATCACAGTACTGCTGAATTCAACAACTACCACTGAATCCAAAATACTGAATACATCTAGTCCAGATGTATTGTAGTAAGACAAACCTGAGGCTCATTCTTTCATATTCAACAAACACAGACCATGAAAATGATTCGTGATTTCTGAAGATACAGACCACTGAAGAAGTCTCACTAGGCTTCTCTCCTTTGCAGGGAACAGTTATTACATAAGCAGTAATTTTTGTGCATTCTTACTCAATTAGAATACTGTAGAAGTAGCCCAGACTGCTTACCTTCTGAAAAAGCTCCCCGAGAGAACCTGCAATGCTGTCATTTATAAGAAAGATTAACTGCTTTCAGTCTCAATTGGTAACTTACACTGACTGCCAGGATGATCACCACTGTGGGGGCACATAACTATAGGTTGGTGTTCCTGGAGCCCGATATGTGGGCATAGTAACTGGATGAGGGGCTACCGGAGTTGGGGAATGAGTTGTCAACAAAGTACCTAGGATGAAGAGAACATTTTTTTCAGTAAGTACAAATTCTAGTACAGAGGGGAAAAAAACAGGGGGGGTGGGAGGAAAAAAAAAGTTAACTTTAAAAACAATTACAGATTGCTCATCTTCTGATCTAAAATTACCAGTATCATTTTGCACTCCAGCCCCAATCTTCCTTCAAACATTTATGCAAGGGGATCATTTTGATGTTTAGTCCAATGCACACAAATATACTCATTACTCAAAAATAGCTCTAGCAGAAACCCTGCAACATAAGCATTATTCACTGCAAAACTTTTTCCCACAGCAGGCTTTACATGCCATAAGAATATCTGATGGTAGAGATAACTTGACTGATGAATGAGAATAAATTAGTTCTTGATTGCATTATTGCAGATAGGTTTTTAAAGGCTAAGGGACTTCAGAAAAACAGGCCAAGATAGCAGGATTTGAACAGTCCTTCTCTACAGCGCTTTGTAGAAACAGTAACAAACACCTGGGATAAGCTTGCCCACAAATGAAACTCCAGTGTTAGCTCAGCTTGTGACACAACTTTTCTAGTTTTCAGGTTCCTCAAATAAAATGGTAAATTTGACAAGATAAAAACCAGAATCTGAAAACAAGCTCATGGCTCTGATTTTTTAGATTACTGATCTGCGTGTCCTTTGGCTGAATGTGGACATTTCATAAGTTAAGACCCACTGAGTAACAAAGCACGACACTCCCTCAGTAAACATTCACAGATTCATCTAGATTATTGGTTAAACAACACTTTCTCCGAAGCACTACCACTAAAACAGTATGGAATCAGGAACTAAACATCCCTAACCACTGCCTATGACACAGAAGACTTACGGGTAGCACAAACACATAAAATGTTATATCTCAACATACAAAGGAGGCCAGTGATATGAGGGGTAGGCTCAAAACACTGCTTTTTCCTCAGCCTTAAGAGGCTGCTGTTTTCAGCTAGGCATAGCAAAATGTATTGGGAAGAGGAAGTCAGTCTCTTGACACTGGTAAGAGGAGAAGCTCTTATGTCAGTGAAATTCCATACAGATATAAAGAAAAACTATTTTACCATAATACTAGTATCTGAACAGAGGATATATCTCCATTCTTAGAGACAATCACAGTATCACTGAGCAAGTACTGATCTAGCTGGACCCACTCTGAAGATGTTGGACTAGGCAACCTACAGAAGTCCCTTCTAATCTCAGCAATTTTATGATTCTGCCAAGCATGCCTCTGGCATCACATTTTTGTAACGCAGCTGTGTTCTGTCCAGAACTGAAAGGAGACCTTCATCAAGAGAACATTGGGGATGTATAAGCTCACCTACCTGCTGACATTGCCATAGTAGTCCCAGCCACCATCCCCATGGTCACGCCGTTTCCTCGGGGTGGTGGAATCGGAGCAGGGTACATAGTCGCCGGCATGCCGTTAGGCTGCACAACTGTGGTGTGGTGAATTACGTGGGGTGGTGCTGCATATAAAGGCTGTGTGTAGTAAGTGCCTTGCTGTCGGAGAAAAAAGTAAATCAAGTAATTACAGTATATCTGGTGGGGAAAATAAATGATGGCATCTTTCATGAAATAAAAGCATTATTTTGAAGATGCAACGTATTTACAGAGCAGAAGCCAAAACATTCATTCCAACCGTTCCAACTGTGTTTTACTGGCAAACTTTTTAACTTTTAGCCACTTTTTAAGGAATTAATCCAATCTGGATAAACCTCAATACTTGCTTATTAATTCCCTTCAACTAATGTGTACAAAACAGGCAAGTTTCCTCTGTGCAAAAAGAAGGCCAAACGTTTCCCTAAAATATGTTTACTGAAGTGTCTTAATTCTGTATTTTCTAACAGTTTTCAAAGATTTGCCTACTATGAGATTTGGTAAATCCCTGAATCACAACAGAGGCTTCCTTAAAAAAAAAAAAAAAAAAATCTAGTTTATGACCATTTTTAACAAAATTAAATCAGGATGTGGTAGTTCAAGCTTCCAGCACACATTTTTTTAAACTACTGAATCTAGCGTCTCTTCAAAGACTGAATGTGTTATCAGTGAACGCAGAGTAACGGTCACGTGAGAGAATGTAAAAGTGTATACACACAGTCTGTACCTCACTGTATTAAGAATTCTTACTGCAGGCAGCTAAAAGTTCTCTCCTTCCACAAAGAAATAAATGCGATGTAAAGTGAAGAGTTCAAGCAGATATTACAAGGTAAGCAAAATACTATCCAAACAGACAGTTTTTTGGTTTTGTTCATTTACCTGTGCATACGGATTCTGCTGTGGATAGGCACTTCGAACTGGGTACACAGCAGTCTGATAGGGATTCGGTGACGAAGAATATGGTGGCACTGCTCCACTAGTGGGTGAACAAGATACTTTATATGGGGTGCCTGGTGTATAACCTGAAACAAAGGTAAATCTGCATTAAAAACATGAAAAACAAGTGTCAGTACACTGCATTCTGAAGTCAGGGGTAACAATTTTCTTAATTTACAAAGTCCTTAATCTTCATATGAGTACTTAGTAGGCTAGTCTCAATATCCAAGCATGAGTTTAAATAATACTGGTAACAGTCTGAAAATAATACCTGACTGTGTCAAATAAGCATCACGTTAACTGTATTTTTGCACAATTTGCCTTTCAAATCTATGGATATGGGATAAAAATGTGGATTTGGATTTTCACAGTAATATCATAAAATATTTGGATTCAGCATATTAGGCAGCATTCCTCCACAGGAGGATTTGGCACATGTTAATATCAGCCCACTTCTCAACACTTCCCAAATTGCACTGGCAAAACACAGTAACGGTTAACTAACCTCAGTTACCTTCTGTAGACGATGATACAGCACAAGTATAACAATTTCAAAAGTCAGAATCATGTAAAGAGCTCAAGATGGATTTTCAGAGAACAGAGACACACCATCTGCAACCTCTACTTCAACTTACATTTACTCATATTTGTCTTCTGGCATTTTCTGAACTGGCTAAAATAAATACGAAAGGCCATACCTTTAAAACACTGTAGAGTTCACTGCAACTGCAAATTAGACTTTGAAGGCACTTCAATATCTTAAAATCTTCTTTTTTGTGTATTATATATATAGACACACCCTTAATCATCACTTAAGAGTTATTTTTATACATTACAGTAAGACTTCAGATGCCTTCAGAAAGAATTTTGCATTACTAAGGCCCCCAGAATCTGTCTGCCTTGTAAGCGTTGGGAACTGTTCAATTTTTACTGGGCTAAGTAGCAAGTGATGGCTCAGACCCTGCCTAAAGACAGTTCTGTAATTCCTCCAGCCCTCATCAGACAAGGTCTCAGGATAACAGAACAAGGGCTTGATGACTCATGGAGGAGGTCTATGAAAAGCATCATTGCTGCTGTGTGCTACACTCCCAAGATCGTACCGGCTTAACGGCCAGAGTGGGAATACAAATACCTTAGCAGCAGCATCCACGAGTAATGACATTTAAGGTAGTAAAAGACAGTCATGATCTATTCTGGAGAAAGCATCATGGTCCTAGACTGTGCTACACTGAAAAGTTCTTGGGTTTCATGCAGGTTCGCCACACAGCACCCGCAGATACGATTTCTATGTAGCTGGAATTATGTAAACTAGTACTAGGGCAATGCAAGGAAGAAAAACCACTTGGTAATTATAGAAAAACATGAGACTATCAGAATAAAGATTAAGCTGACTTTAAAAACCATCTAGAATGTGCTGACTTCAATACAGAGAACAGATCTGAAGCCATATAGCAGAGAGAACACTGACAGTTGTGTTGTGAAAAATCAGCCTGTGCAGACAGCGTGATGACAGATGACCTTCACTCTTTTTGCAGAAGTCTGAGTTTCTTTCCAATTTTATTCCACCCTTCAAACCAAAAATTGTTATGCTAATGAAGAAATAGGTTTACTATGTTTTGTTTTTTTAAATGGAATTTAACGCCTTTAGAGACGCTAAAGAAAGCTACTGCAGCACTTACCCTGAGTTTTTAGAGATCCTAAGTATTTGACAAATAGGGCATGCTGAGGAATAACTTCTGTTTCTAGTATGGGGAGCTATTTGTGTTGAAAAACTCAGCTACAAAATCTGAACACAAAGCATCACTACTGAACTATGACTATGTCCTCAGTCAAGACCACTCTCATTTGAAAAGCCCACTAATACAGCTGCACAGCCAATTTAACTTTCATTCTTGCAAAGTGGTACACGAAGTATTCTGCCTTCCCATTTAATTTTTTTCTCCTTTATAGAGAGTAAAGACCTTAAAAGTAAGCCATACGGTTATTCAAAACCACAGACATTTAAGAAAGATACTTGTAAAAAGTTACCCTTTCTGAACAGCAGTGGCACAGCACATTCAAATACTGCTGTGATGTGAATTTACAAAAGCTTTGATTCTACAGACAAGCAGTTACATCAGAAAAGTTTTAAAAAGTACATATATATAAAAATCCCTGCTGTTATGACAAAGTACTTCAAGTTTTCTGCCTGAATTAGAAGATCTGGACATTGTGAACTTCAGTTCATAGCTTGAAGAGTAGCTAAAAATTAAAGCTATTCTTAGTTCTGATATCAAATCTTTTTATTTAATTTTAAAAAAATTAAGGACATATGAAGACAGTATACAACTTCTATACGTCTTTATTCCTTCTTCACACAAAAGCAAAACATTTCTTACTCTAGCTTTGTTATATAGCATGAGATATACTCCGAGATTAATCAGTGCAAACTAATCTTACAACATGATTAAATCTAACAGGTCAAGAATCTTCCTCAGAAAATGTAACCTTCTGTTACAACATAACTGACATGGAGGAAAAAAACAATCAACTGAATAAAAACATCAGTCTTGTGATTTGGTAAATTGATTACATGCAGCTTATCTTTATCCTTCTGCAGCAGGATTTGCAAACTGCAACTCTTTCAGTTATTTGATCCTAGAATGAAAAATTACAGCTACTCCTCAGTGCAGCTGCAGGAACCCTGAGGAAGAGCACAGAAGGCAGAGACACACCACAGGGGTAATCTCAATCGTGAAGCTGAATGGCCTGTTAGTAATGTAAACTGATAATAAAAACCCACATAGGGTTTGATTCCCATGTTACGAGTCATACCCCCGATGGGAACTGCTCTCCCTTGAACATCACTTTCAAAAAAGTTCTGAAGCAATGCAGTGCATGCACAAGCTGGTACCCCCAGATACTATACTTGCACTGAGGCAATACCCTATCCAAAGGACAGATTGATTTTTTTTTTTATTTTTTTTAATTACTGGAACTCGCAATAACCATCTGTTTCCCTGCCCTCAATTCAAGACCAAAGACCAGCCAAAATCAGTTCTGCACTCGCTATGCCTCTAAACAGCAAACTGAACAGAGACACAGGTTGTACCAACTAGAATACTCCACAGGAAAGCTACACACTTTCAACATGTTGTGCAGACAAGTGTTTCAGATCACTTAGTCTCTCTTGCCTCAGTAATTGCTGCCACACCCTTTTATGTCTCCTGGAAGTTAATGAAATGCCATACATAACATATATTGAACTTCAATCCTGCAGGTAGGCAGGCTTCCACATGACCTCCCTAATTTCAAGCAGCATCCTTTCCTATATCCGTAAGTTACACAAGGGCATTCAGGGACAAATTCGGTTCTGTGCCACACGTGTCACTGAAAAACTGGCATAGTACATGAAAGTGAAAGAGTTCCTGAATATGGCCCGGGTCTACATTTAAAAAAGCAATGTAAGGAATTCCTTAGTATGCAAAATAACCACAGGGAGAATACTGTTCTATCAGATATATGTTCCCAGTTTAAGTGGAAAATAAATGCTACCAGTTTCTGTTTTGTTTCATGCATTTGCATATCAAAATTGTCTTCTATTAGCGAAAGCAGAACTACATGAAAACAACTTGGGTGAGTGCTTTGGTTTCTCTCCTGTCTGTTTTTCCATCTCCCTTTTCCTAGGCCCACCACATTCCCTTTTCTCTTAAATGACCAGCATGCAAGTGCAGTTACCTAAATCCTCCCCTGAGTATCCACTATGGACAAAACAGCTTTACCCAGCAACCCAGCTTTCCAGATAGTTAGTTTGTGCAGGACAATCCTAAGGGCAGAAAGAAGGCAGCAAGCTGAACTTGGAAAGATAAGATTTAAGAAAAGGATGAAAAAGAAGAGCTTTGAAAACAGACAGAAGACAAAATAGGATTCTGCCTGAATCAGCCTGTAACATAGAAACTACAGCTAAAACCTCAGCTTTTCCCTTCTCTGAAAGTGAAAGCAGTATGACTTAAAACAAGATTATACTCAATTTATCAGATGATTCCTTATGAGTCACATTCAAAGTAATGCAACACTTATCCCACAGTATAGCGTTACCATAAGCCCCTGCAGCTTTTCCTCATTTTTGGTTCTAACAACTTCCAAACTTTGGGTTACTGCTTTGACATACCTATTACACATACCTGTCTGGAAGGTAGGATTTGCTCCAGGATACATATTAGGGGAGTAGGCAGGAGCAGCCGCTGCATAGCCCATTGGGAAGCCAGCTAGAAGAAAGAATATGTCAAAGTTATTTTCTAGACTGACTGCAGTCTAACTTTATTCTCAAAGATTTTTCACTGTACATCTTTTAATTGAGATAATCTAACAGATGACCTTCAATCACACCTCTTCAACTAAAACAGTGGGCTCCTCCCAAGCCACCCAAAGTTGAATGCTAGATGAAGGGATAAGCTAAGGAGTCACAAGTGCCATTCTCCCTTTATCTCCCCGTTTCAGAAAAACTCAAAGTTGGCCAAGTACCTCTTCAGTTAGTTGGACAACAAAGTTTTGTGCAACTATCCAACCCTCCTCCCCCCTGAGTCTTAAGACCCGATGTACATAAAACATTTATTGGAAGAAAAGGAACTTTTTCCGCAGAAGCAAATCCCTAAAAGTCAGAGTGATTCTGACTCTCCAGATCAGAGATATCCCAAGTAGAGTACAAAGCAACCACAGGTAGTCCAAAACGTTTGTTGCTTTTGACACATATCAAAAAAGCCCACCAGTTTCAGGCAGGTACTGCGACAGTTAACAGTAACAAGTGATTCACTGAGGTGTCGGCAAAATGATAGGTAAGCACTTCTACACCAGAATACAAGAACCACTATGGCTGAATGAACGTCACAATGCACTGGCAGCCAACATAAGGCAAAAAAAACAGCATTAGCAAAAGCTACAGTTACTTGAAAGATACAAAGTTTGATTTGATTGTAGTAAGTGAAATGTCTGAATTAATCATCCTATTCATTTTTCTAGAACTGCTTACCTTATTCCAAACTGTAAAACTGAGTAATGTCTGTATTTAGAAAGACAGTTTACTACCACATTTTGTTATCAACATATAAAGAATTCAGCTTCTCCAGATGAAAGGCAATTACTATTTGTATATTCACTATCAGGCTTAAAGTTGCTAGTTTTAAACTGTTATATTCTAATCTGAAGGGTTTCTATTTCGCTATAAATCCCAGAGTCCTTAGCAATTACTCCTAACAATAAAAATTCCTTAGCCCATGACTATATTTGCCAACCTAGTTTTGTAAAGTACTCTGTAAACTTATCAAGTGACATATACTTGGCACTACTATTAGGTGGTCAGCATGAATAAGACTAAGAAATGCAGTAGACTTAAAAATCAAAGGTAAAAATAGCATATCCAATTCAAAACAACTTTTCAGAGTATAAATACTCAAGTTTTCAAATTCAGAAGCTGCTAGTTAAAAGCTTTAGTACAGCTTCACATCTTACTCCAGCTATGTGTGTATATATATATATGCAACATTATTTGTGGTGTATACGCTTTCAGTCCTCTATTCTTTCTTCACAGGTTTAGCTCTACAGCAGAGCACTATGAACTACTCGAGAAACTAGTTGTTTGTGAAAAATGTAACTATGACAAGCAGCAGTTTTAACTTCTACACAGAACTTTTATCCATTTGAGAAAATTTGGCTATTGATTCCTTGATAGGTGTAGTACAATATAGACAGCTATTAAATATGCAACAGCTTTAGAAACACAGTGCCTTTAAATAATAGATTCCACCTAGCAATATGTTCATTACTTTCTATTACCATGCAATCCATGTAAATTCAATGACTCTGAATGGAGAATCTGCAGCTTTAAATTAGGAGAGGCAAAGAAGGGAAACTTAGTCATGCAAGTGTTTTGGAAATCAGAAAATGCAAGTCTACTGTTCATTTTAGAGGAAGTGTTTTGTGTTTATCCTGAAATCTTTAAGCCTGAACCAGGCAGCTCAGCAAACTACCTGTAGCAGTGTAACACTGTAGACCTTACTGACTGAGGTGAATTTAAGGGTCACAGTTGTGTAAACCTGCTGTTCTAAGGCTGAATTTTGAGTGATCAACTTGTAGCATGACATTTAAGGCACTTCTCTAACAATTCTACTTGAATTCCATATATTTTAGTTAATTTATAACCAAGTGAAGACTGGCAAATATACAGTATTTGCATAATTCAATAGGTAGTCTAATATGTGTTAACAGTAGAATAAAAGACTAGAAGTAGTAATGTTTTTTAAACTGCTATTTATGAATCTACAATAGTGTATCTTTCTAAGCAAATTAAGGTACTACTTAGATTAGTATAAACAAGAGCTTCAATGTGCAAATGGTTGTAAGTACAAATGAAGCCCTAGTTAATATCAATCTGTGTTTAGAAAACTACTAAAGATAAAAATACAAAGTTATATTTAAATAATTCATAATAATCTTTAAAGCTAAAGAAAACCTTGAAAAAGCAATTACAAATATAGAAATAATTGTGCTGTAGCTGATATTAATTAGCAAACCACTGCTGCTTGCCTTAATATAAAATTACTGTAGTCCATATAACTAAGACAGTTACAGAAAATAAAACCATCCTGCAGGACTTATGGTTACACAGCATCAGCTTTACAATTTATTACTGCACCATCTCAGTCACTCAATAGACATTGCAACACAGTTTGTGTTTTCCCCTTATACATACTGTAGAAATCAAGAAAGGTACACTAGTTTGAGAAAAAAATTAAAAGTATCTGAAAAACAAAAATAAAAGTTATCAGGTTTTTGAGGTAATCAAGTTAACAGTAAAAAAAATAATTTATGCACCAGTATTTAGATGGAACAGAGAAAAGTGGAACAGGAAAATAGGAACTCCGGTGTACTACCTAAGCTGAAATACAAATTTTAAAACTGTAAATACTAATAAAATGTAGTATAGATACAAAGAATGTAAACAGTAACAGCACAGAACAACTTCTACTTTCCAACACAGACACCAACTAAATCACAAAACAGTCTCCCTGTAAAAGCTACAGAAGTTTAATTGGTTACGATACATAAAATCTGAGCTGAAAGAGCCTTCACATCTCCCAGGATGGAATAATTCCCTTACCCCACAGATACCAGAAGACTGCATCAAGACATACTGCTTGAAATGTCTCACAGAGGCACACAGCCCTTCCCTTCACCCTTCCCCAGATGCTCTATCCAAACCTAATTATTGCCTTACCCAACTTCTGAACTATGGGGACATCAGAAGTGAAGCCGGCTCACACACACCTTAGGAGATGAGGAGAAAAAACCCTAGTGCAAAACTTGAAGCCAAATGAGAAGCAGAGAAACCAAGAGATAAATTTAATTTCTGTTTTACAAACATTTTTTGGCCATTTTCTTGGTCCCACCTTTGATGCTATGCTTCAGGCAGTCATAAAACAGGGAGTAAGAACAAAAATTAGAGGACAGAAAGGTTAACAGTGCCAGCCAGCTAGCAGCAGAAATAGACTGACTCCTCTTCTTGCAGGCAGGGTGTAATTATTAGAGCTCCTAAAATAAGATGCTTTGGAAGAGATACCAAAGTTAGATAGCTGACTGAACTAAGATCACTCTTGAAACCTCACTTTTTAAATTAAAAAAAAAAAAAAAAAAAAACAACAACAAACAAAAACACCCAAACAAAAAAACAAAACACTCAAATCCCAAAACAGGTTACCATACATGAAGGCATTCATAAATGACTGTTTATTCTGGATTACAAAAATCAGTGTAACTGAAACTTATTAAAAAGCAGAGTTACTTACCTGGATAACCAATTCCTTTGGCATTTGCATAGGGAACCCCAGAAGATCCAGGGCTATACACAGGATTCATGATTTCAGTAACTGAATCAGGAAAAAAAAAGAAGAAAAAAGTGTTTACTCAAGCGTAGAGAAAGCTTGAAATCTCAGCAACTAAAATGAAACTGAGAGCAGGGGAAAGTGTATCAGTTGAAAAAGTAACAGAGAAAAAAGCATCAATCCCACTACTCATCAACATGAAAACTGTAGCTGTAACAAGAGAGTGTCACTGCAGAAAAATGTTTCAAAGCCTCACAACCCTCAACTGGCTAGAGACTGTCTCAGGAATGAAACATTCTCTGTTGTGGAGCATGTTTTCAAAATATTTCCATCCCTGAGAGTTCCTCCATGGCATGCAAATCTATAACCCACTACCGGAGAGTTCACTTGTGCTGGGCTTCTCCCCCCAGTCATTTATCATCTATCAATCACTTATCACCTATCTACCGTCTATCAATCTTGGTTTCTTCCCATTTCTTCCTTGAAGCACGTAGCCAAGGGATGCAAATACTTGCAGTCTATTACTATTGGCATTTCAAGCCTGGGATTCCAGTCCTTCACCAGCACTAAATTCATCAGCTGTCAACAGTCCAAGTATTACAGAAGTAACTGGCAAAAGACTTTCTGTATTTGACAGCTAGCTCACATTTATTTATTTATTTACCTGCCACTAAGTTCTTCAGAGCCTATGACACACTGGCAGTTGGGTCCAGTCATTTCTGAATTACGTATCCACAGACCGACAAGGCACCTACAGCTAGCATCACTGGCTGGAACAAAACCAAATCCCCTGTTTTACGAAGTATCTTCTATGTAAACACCACAGAAAATAAAATGTCATTGAAGATGCCTCTCCAGTTTTTCTAGTACGCCCATGTATTTCTAGGAACATAAATCACTGCATCACAGCTCACAAGCAAACCCAACACGTGCCTCTTATGAGAGTGCTGCTCGCAACTACTTTTCTACTATTTTAGAAAAAAATCCCCGTATTTTAACCCCAATATCTTCGATCATCTGATTTTCTGCATGTATTTACAAGACTTACCACTTCTCTTCCTGCAAGTGCCCATTTTTCACTACAAATAGCCTCCGACAGCAAGACAAGTGGGCACACTATGAAACCAGACTTTCTTATTAACTGTTAGTATCTGATATCTGAGTCACTTCCTCTTCTACACCTTGAGAAGCTGTCTTACTTAAACGAGCAGTGTGTTAAGCAGTTTAACACAGTTTAACAGAATTTTGTAGCTAAAGTTTATGAAGCAAAAGAGTCATAATTACACATGCACTAACTTTCGTTACTGAATACGTTATGGCAGGAATCTGAGTTATGTTTATCAGTCTAGCTGCACTGGTAAACCTGTGTTAAGTGACTGCATAAAACAGAAGTAGTTTGCTTTTTAAGTAACACTATAACCATCTCTGTGCCAAGAGTTTTAGAAGCACCTAGTACACAAAAGTAACAGAACCACTTGTGCAAATTTAGGAAATCAGAAAGTGCTGTCAGAAAGTTTATCATCAGTTTTCACAAAACACCCAAACTCAATGCAAGAAGATTACAAGATTCACCAGTTTCTCAGACTCTCTCACACATACCCACACTTAGCAATAATAGTAACTTAAATAGAATTGGTTTTATTTTTTCCAGCTTCATACTTGATTACATATCAAGCCAACACAATCCCATTAAGAATGAGTAAAAACCAAACCACCTGCCATTTACATTGCGTAGTATGAAGAAAGTTCCCCAGAGCAGCATGTTTGCATCACCTGACCAACATCAAAAAAAGCAGTTTGACAAAAGTCTCTTTGGAAACGTTGTCTTCAAGTATAAAGCATCATTTTCCACTGAAGCTCCATGGAGTTTTAGCAGCATTAACTCTGCTGTGCCATAACCAACGGGCATATTTTACTGGACTAGTATTTCACTGTTACGAGTCTGTTCTTTTCTCCCATACTTCCTTCTGTGTATCCTCCTCCCTAAATAAGGGCTCTCATTTACTTGAAAACTTTCAGTCTCTTCCTTTATTATCTCCCTGCACTTCCTTCTCATTTGTATCTCTGCTCCTCTTTCAATGTTGATTTTGTCACATTTTGTCTCTAAGCTTACAAAACCCGTAAGAGTTCAAGCTTCACTTCAGTCTTAGCATTTCCGAGTTGTGGGGTAGAAGTCTTAAGGGAGGTGGATCTACCCTTCCACCCAAATATAAAGAGCATGCTCCCACACCCCTCTATCCCTACAAATATGCTGCTCCTCCTTGTAGTCTCTACAGCAATGAGGAGGAAGACGACTGTAACTCTCCCACCATTCTGAATAATAATAAAAAGGACGAAAGAAGACTGGAAAATGAGCAAGAGCATTCTGCAAATATTTGGGTAAAATATTAGAAAAAAAAAAACAACTATTAGAAGTATCAGTAGTCAATGACTGCAGAAGAACACAAGGGCATATGTTCTGTGGGATGACTTAAACTGAACGCATACAAACCTGAAAACGTACAGAAAATGAGTAGAAAAGGTCAGACAACTCAGCAGACAATCTCAAAGGAAGTGCAGGTTAAAAGAAAGGAATTCCACTTAAGAAAGGGGAAAAAAAAAAGCTATGGCATGGGGAGCCTGCAAGCTGCCTCTCACTGGAAACAATGTCAACTTCCACTTCAAATGCATCCATACTTCAAAATTCATGTGTATACACACACACACACACACACACACACACACACACACAAATTCAACCTTGGTTGAACAGGTATGTGCTTTCACACTCTATCTTTCACCACTGCAATAGAAGCAAAGATCCACCAGCATAGAAAAAGTGCTTAGTTTTTGTAATGCAGACAAAACTTCAGGTCACTCCTAATTAAAAACAATTATTTTTAGGTCTTCTCTGAAGGACCCAACATGTGTAAGTATAATTATATAGCATTATCCAGTGGTTGCAATCATCCTGCTCTTACCGTAATTTTACTTGGAAGGGCATCTGTTATATTGAAATATGGAACCTTTCAGTCCACTTCCCTGTAAGGCTTCAAGTCCACATCAAACAGTAGAGAAACAAGTACAGAGTGAACCCAAAGGATCGTGGCTTTCAACCTTTTTGTTGGCACCCCCTCCAAAGCATTCTCATGTTAATGTATATGTAAATAAGTGTCTACTGTGCATCATCTGTATATAAATTTCACAGAGTCAACTGTATATAAATTACAGTCAACTAATTCTTTCAGATGAAATGAAGGTAATCATATTTATTAAAGATGCTCTGATTAAAAACTATGCAAGCATGCCTGGGAAGCGCAAATGCTTCTCCTTTTCATTCTTGCCAAAGCCAAACAATCAAACTCAGTTTTGATCAAGCCTGTTAAATCTCATCTTGGTACAGATACCAGGACAATCATCCTCCTCTTAAATCTACGTTTCAGGAAGCTAAGCACAAAGGCCAACCGCTGGTAATGCTGAAGCTCTAGCACTCCAAATCAGATACTCTTTTGTGCGTAGCTTTTCCTGCTACACTCAGAATGAGCACGTTTCTAGGAAGTTCTTTTCAAAATCATTCTACAGATATACTGGCAAAAAACTCACGATCAATGCAAATCCTGTAAAACAAACTGTACATTCCTTTAACATCTGTTTTCTTACTATTTATTTTCAAAGTTGTGCAGAAACGCTATCAGAACAAGATCTAGTGAATGTCACTTTGTGCTCATTTCACAATTCCATCACAAGAGTTGGGGAAGAATCCCCAAGTACCCTGCCTAAAAAGCACACTACTGTGGTCCACTAATGCTTTCGTTCTTGGAATTTAAGCAGACTCACAGTAAGTCATTATGGTATTTAACATCTATCCATCCTGGAATACTTTCAGAATGCTGTTTGCTATGAAACAATACAAACGAGCCAGTTTCCACTTACATACAATTCCTTACCAAAATTAATTACCATCTTAGTACTGTTTTAAGTTTTACCCATTTGATTTCCACTCAAAGCTTAATGGAAGTATAATACAATTTCTAAATGCTTGGTGGTTTGTAATGTAGAAAACGTCATTTCCACTGCCAAAGAAAATAGTTCAGGACACTTCGGCTCTTCAAATAACTGATGATGATTAAAGTCACAGTTGCATTACGCTATTAAAACCTCAGTCACCAAAACAGGCCCTTTGACACAAACCCTAGGCCAAAAATGGGCCCTTTTGTCATGATTACTTGGAAAAAAAAAAAAAAAAGGGTTCATATCAGCAGGCATTCAAAACTTCACGAAGTCTAAAGCAACGCAACCCACATTGCACTGGTATTTGTAGGTAGCGTGTACTTCATTTCTTCCATTCATCCAAGACCTCAGAAAAGGTCACTGAATTTTACCAGGAAGCAGTTATTACCCTTGCTCTGAACAGGGCATGGGTTTGTGGCAGCCCATAACTGAAGCCAGCAGGAACCAATGCATACCCACAACTGCCACTCTTCAGGCAAGCAATCCCACTCCCTGCACTAGGACAGCACTGCCACTCTAGCCTCCCAGTAAATTACATCACCTAAGCTGGTTGGCAGAATTCTGGGGTTTTCTGGAGTTTTTTGAGCAGAGGGTTGCTATGTTTTCTTCCTAGCAGCTTGAGAGAGCCGAGACACATCTCCAAATGGCCAAGACAGCATCAGTTCCAGTGCAGGGAAGGTAGTGGGACTGAATAGTGGCAGCAGAGATAGAGGCTGCAGAACCACAGCCTGGAAAAGGACAATTAACAACTTTGCCCAAAGTTCATCCATAAAGTAAAATACAAAGCTGAAAAACATCATTCACATGCAAGTCTTCTTCCTCTGCTCAAGTTATAAGATGTCCTCGTCATAAAAGAGAAACAATGAGATACCCTTCTATGTTTTGTGTACATGCATCTTCTTTAAAGATTACAAAGGACAGAGCAGTTCAGACTCTTTAATCCTTTCTAATGAATACAAATCTCATCTGTTAGCCTATTCTAGCAGTGGTTTATTGTTATAAGGTTTTTTTGTGTTGAAACACATTTACATTAACACCAATACTACTTGTACCCAGTGTCAGTAAGGACATAGACAATATGATTATATTAAAGACAAAACAAAATTAGTTCTATATGCCATTCACAAAAAGAGAGTCTATATCTAAAATTTAATACTAATATCCTGCTCGTGAACCAACATTATTTGTACATTAGTGGCACTGCTCTGTTCTTCCAAAAAACCCAGAACCTCACCAAAACCTTTCTTCAAAAAACCCTACTACCTATGGAAAGATTAAACAATCAGCCCAGCATTTCTTGAAGTCTACAATTTCTGCTGCTGCGCAAGAGGATAAAAGTTGTCAGCTCCAATGCTTAAAGCTCCTGCCTAGCTTTGAGAACTTGTACATACTTATTTCAAAGAAGCTGAGCAATGCACCAAAATTGCCAATTTCTCACAGTAAGAATCTTAGAGGCCTGCCTATTGCCAAATTTAGGGAAAGTTAATCAACTATGAGAAACAGAAAAGAAAAATAAAATTGGAAGAATAAAACTTTAGTACATGAAGGAATCATATTCACAACTTTTTAGTTAAATCCTAAAGCTCTGCTTCTTGGTACATTTTAATCCTACAAAGCATTTTTTCATTAAGTTCATTTTCAGTGCATTCCACGTTCCTTTTTGAAATAATATGAAACTGTCACAAGCTCCAAACTGAGATAGGATCTCCAAAAGCCTCTTAATTCCTCCTGGTTTTCAACCTGATAGGTAAAGCGTGTAATTACTACCCCAAATGTACAAGTCATGAAGTGTGTGTTATATGAGCGTAGAAGTTTTATGACACTAACAATTATATGTCTTACAGTAAAATCACATTAGAGCAGACAGAAAGTCTAGTCAAATTAGGTAACGTGCACACTACTACTGAACATTTAGGAACAAATTAAGTCCACCTCTCCTCATGCTAAGAGCCGTATACCTCCCCACACTTAAAACCCAATTTTTTACATTTCTTCAAGCACAGATTTCATCATTTGGCTGGTGTTTATGGTTTGGCTTCAAACGTTCTAGAAAAGCACTGAAAGCACAGTTTGCACCGGGCCTTTTTGACTTTTTGTCTCGGGACTCTTCCTAAAATCCACGGACAACTGAAATTTTATTCCTTCCTCCAGCTCACAGGTATAGAAGGGATGAGGCAGCATACAACATGCAAGCCGCTCACAGTTCTTTGCGTGCAGCTGAAACTTACTGAGACTATTTAAAAATCCAACCGACTGATCCCCTCGGGACGCTATACTGAATTTTTACGAAGTTACCCACCGGACCCCAGTAACACGGCAGCACAACCATCCCGGGCGTTCAGAACCAACTCACTCCCTCAGGGTAACCTGAGCTCCCGGCAGCGACCGAAAGCAGAAGGGGACGAGCCCCGGGCCCTGCTGGCAACTGCCCGCCGCCCCCAGCTCGCCCGTCCCCTGCCGCCGCCCCAAGGCACCTGTTGCCGGGAGCCCTCCCAGCCCCAGGCCCCGCCGCGCTCTGCCCTCGGCAGCGGCCGCCCGGATGGCTGCGGGAGAACGGCGGAGAGGCCCGAGGCGCCAGGCCGCGGGAAGGCGCCGGGCCCGGGCTCCCTTTACGTAAGGGGCCCGGCTCGGCGCGGCGCGGCGGGGAGGGGAGGAAGGCGCGGCCCCGGAAACCGGCGCCGCCCGCGGCGGGCCCGGGCGCCCCGCACTCACCGGGCTACGGCGCTTCGTGGTGGCGGCCCGGCCGGCGCTGGCTGTCTCGCTGCGCCCGGCCGTCGGTCGGTCGAGGTCGGTCGGTCGGTCGGTCGGTCGGCGGCGGGCGCTGCCTGCGCGGAGCGGGGCGATGATGCCGGGGGGGGAAGGGGGGGCGGGGGGGGGGGGTCGGCGGTCACCGGGCGGCTCCGACTGCTCCGCGCCCGCCCGCACCGAGCAACTGCGCAGCGAGCGGCGGCCGACGTCACTTCCGCGGGGGAGGGGGGCGCGCGCACCTCGCCAGGGGAGGGCGGGGGGGGGGAGTGCGGAAGCTGCCGTCACATGCACGGAAGCCCGCGGGCACGACCGCCCCCGCCCGCGCCCTCAGCACGTGACCCCGCCGCCATTAGCGGGGTCCCGCCGCCCCCCGGTACTCGCTCCGGCGCCGCGGGTCGTGCCGCGCGGCTGTGCCCGCTTTGGCGGCGAGGAGGGGCCGGGCACCCGCGCAGCCCCGGTCCCCGGCACAGCCCCGCGGCAGCGCTGGGAGCAAACCGCCGCGGGCCCGGGCCCGCCCGGGGCGGCCGCCGTGCGGGGAGAGCGGTCACGGCGGCGGTGCCGCGCCGCGGGCGAGCGGCGAGATCTGTCTAAACCGAAATTTGGGAGGAAGAAGAGAGGTGGCTTAAGCAGCACCTCGAGAGTGCCAGCAGCAGCTGCGTAAGGCGCCTGGGTGGTAGTTCTGTGTACGCGGTAACTCCGCGTGAAAATTTTTGCCTTTTCTGTCGTTTTTGTTTGCTCAGAACAGGCAAACCCATGAAACTGTTCAGAAATCTGAGCAAAGCAAACTGATGAGCAAGGCAAACTTAAACAGATCTTACGATTTTAGGTCAAGGAGCTTTCTAACTCGCTGTCCATCCTCCCACTGATGGGTGGAAGCCAACCTTGCAACTCTTTAGACCTAACCAGACCTGTCGAGGTCACAATTTGATCCTCTAACAAAACACACAGACTCCTCATCTTAAAAGATCCAAATTAACCTTTTGATAAAGCACTATCTGCTGAGGACAGGACAAGACAGCAATGTATGGTAGATTCATTTTGCCCAGACACGATGGACATTATTGAACATGCAGCAAAAGAGACCAAAGCAACAGCCATGCAGAATTCATGTTGCCAGTCGTTAAAAAAACGACCCATGAAGCTGCATGTGCTTGGGGTAAAGGCCTACGCTGAGACAACAGTCAGCACTGTTCAACAACGGTCAGGGAAACATAACTTTGGAAGCATGTGGAGGCAGCCTGAACACTGGATTTGTCCAGAAAAGTTGGTACAAACAGTGCCATTAGTTCAGAGGTGTTCTGAACAGGCGCCGTGACCAATGCCACCAAAGAATGGACTGCCAGCGTGACAGCAAATATGTTATTAATTGATCCTAGGTTGCACACGAACCCATAAGCCAGCGTGCTGCTGGAGAGAGTGATGCTGGCATCAAAACCAAACAAACCACAACAGGTAGGAGACAAATGGCCGAGCGTCCTACCTCTGGTGAGAGCCGGCGGTCGTGCACTGCAGGGGTATTCTGAGCAGCAACCCTGCTGCTGCAACACACTGCCAGTCTGGATGGACAAATGGGGATAAACCAACAATTCCTTAGATCCTAAAGGGATGACAATAAAAGATAGCAGATCAGCTTTTTCGTAAAGAAGGTCTCCAACAGGTTGAGCCCTGGCCAATACACAGCCTGCACAAATGAGCCTGGCATCCATTACCTGGTGTTACAGGGCGCCCCAGAAACCTGCTCAACTCAGGTAATTAGTTTCACTACAATTTCCCTTGCTTAGGGATATGCAGTACGATTAACACCCTTTCCTGTTATCCCACCATGCATTATTAAAAACCATAGGGGTATTACTATTTATGCTAGATAGCATTCTGCAAACTATGGCTAAATTGTAAGTTTAAACTTGTCTCATGGTGTAATACCATACACCATGGTGGAAAATATTCCAGCCCAAACAAAAATCTGATACCAAAGAGATGACAAAGCAACAGTCTGAACTCTTACACACTGTCAGCACATATATAAACCAATTACTCTCTGGTTTGTGCAGTTACTATATAGTCTCATATATTAACTATATGTCAGTTGTATGGTGTGCAACCCTTGTCAATCAGTACAATACAAACATAAATGGGGTTGGAAAAAATTACAAAAAGGTGGAAAATATTTTTAAAAACTAATAGAACTGAAGACCTGCTGATATTTCTCTTGTACAATGTCATAGTTTCAGTAGTCAAGTGTAGAAGTGATAACGTTCTCTGTAGCAGACTTTCAAATTGATTTACAGCTTGCTAACATTTATGCAGGTAGGCCAGCTTGCTCTTTTCTAATTCTCCTCAGATGTCTCCCTCTTACTGCAATACGCTTTCCAGAAATGTGAACTGCGGTTCCTCAATCGCGCTGGTCAGTCGCAGAGGAATACTACAGCAAACGGCGAGTTGGTGGACTGACTCTAGCTACATAACCAAAAGAATGGTACCATTAATATCTAGACACGAATGAGTATAATGGTGACTCAGAAATACTGTCTCCAGTACTACAATGTGATACTTCTCTGAGTTTGGTTTGTTTGGGTAAGAGGAGAGAGACCTATCTGGGGGGATGAGAGGTCATAACAGCTGTAACCACACTAATGATTCAAAAAATTGTTTAAGATGCAGCCTCAGACACTTCAATATATCTGTTGTAGGGGACTCAATTTTTAGCAATGAGGAAGTGACAATAAAAGCAGTACAGGGAAAGCTACCATCTACAGTGAGATGGTATTTGCTCCAAAATTCATTCCTATGTTTTGTGGATTATTCCAGGATATTTGAAACAGCCAACACCTCACCCCCCCCACTATTCTGCACTGTTGAGAATTTCCTGTTCTGGAAATTTGTGCATCTACAGTGCTCAGGGAATTGCCCTGGGAGGCAGATGATGGCCTGGGGCAGCCACCACCCAGTGGCAGTTAGAAGCTATTGCAGTAGTATGACATTTTTTATCTGGGTAACTGTTTTCCAGTTCTGTATATAAGCAGATGGATAGTTATTTATTGTCTTCATAATACTTAGGTGGTTTTGGTGGTTTTGAATTGTGATGTCTGTGTATTTTAAAGCCATAATACAAATTCTAAAGGAAGCAAAACTTACTGGCATGCAACTAAGAGCATGCAATGGAGATGTGTGGAAGGTCATGTTAATTCAGGATACATTTCAATAGTTTGTCTATATTGTTTAGCAGTTTCAAATGAGCCTGTAATTAAAAAATACCCCTAAGAGTTGGTATCTTGATTGAAAATTATTAGGCAATTTTGATTGCCCTCAATAAGACTGGTAAATGCTATAAAATATTCATAAGCATTTATAATTTTTGGCTTCTTCCATTTCTACTCTTTTCTTCACCATCCAGGAGCTCTTCTCATGCTCTTCCTTCTTTGTTTTTTCCACAAGATCAGAATGCCTTCTCTGTAGGCCTTGTCACTCTCTCCATCATTAAAAGTTTTCAAAAATGTATTTCTTGATCAAACACTTTGGTTGACAAACATAATTCAAAGGGTGGGATGTGGATGAAGAAACATGCAAATGTGCTCTGATTTTCTGAGGATATCTGCCAGAACCCTGCCGACACATCAACCATATGAAAATATCTCAGAACGCTGTTATTCCCGACTCTCCGTAGTGGACGTATTCCCTTTTTATATGAGTTTAATTCCATGAGGATTTCTGTATAGGACACATGCTTTTCTATAATGACAAGTCCATCACAGGTATCTTCATCAGGTACACAAAAGCCTCTGAGAAAAACAGTCCATGTGGACACCAGCTGTAGTACAGATCAAACTCAGATTCAGACATGAAAGACTTACTCAGCAGAACCATTGCTTTTGATTCTGTTTTATGGACATCAGAAGTATTTTCACTCAGTGCATACCTACTTTATGCATAGCTAACATAAGGAAAGTATGCTATGCCACAGCATTTCCTTCTCCATAATATACATGGGGTTTTTTACAGGCAGTCAACTTGGCTCTTAATTTCAAAGCACACTATGATAAAAAGTAATTAATATGTGTAGTTAAATAACCAGACAAAATACTATTTCCACCATAGTGGAGATTGAGAATGTGTGACAGAAAACATGGTAACAACTTCATAATGATCCCAAACAAACGTCTGAAAGCCAGGAATTGCAAAATTAAAGACCAACATGAAATTAAACAGAATTTGGAATGTATGTAAATATCAAGGTCTCATAAATCAGCTCAACTCTACTCTGTTATTACACAGATAAATATAAATCTGTGAGGTAAAATCCTTAATCTACTGGTTAGATTTCTTTTCCATGAAATGGAGGCAGATTTTAAGCCACTGTATCCTATTGATAAACATGTGGACAGCTTTTGTAGACTAGGTATATAGTTGCTAAAAGGTGGAGCAAATAATAAGGAAACACATATTTCCTATGTTTCTGTTAGTAAGGGTTTACAATAAGTACCACTGCATTGTGGCATTTCATGGGGCTTTACAACTGTTCATTACTGTTGTGACTTATTTTAATGATGCAAATCATCATTGTGGTTTTGCTGAATACTGTTGACAGCACTGTAATAATCTCCTTTAGTTTCAAAAGCAGAAGAGAGATACTTCCCAGACCTATAGGCCATTAGCAGTTGTTCTGGCAGAGTGAGCACCTGCTCTGTTTTTATAGTGCTCTAAGTCACCGTGAGCCTCTACAAATAAAACTGACATTCTTTTGTTAGAATTTAACAATACAGATTCTACATGGAATTGGTTAGAATCCTGCTCCCCCCCCCCCAACCTCAAGAAAAGTAAACGGCTACAGATAAACGTTGAACATCATTCAAACTGGTATCAGTAGAATATTTTACAATTCCCAGGGAGTGTTATGAAATGCTGCATACAATTTTGTCCTATATTTGTCAGAATCAAGAGTAAGAATACTTAGAAAAGGAAGCCAGTTTGCATTCCCTGTCACTGACCTGTTGCTTTTTATTTGATGCCAATGTTTTACAGAAGACAGAGAAGTAGCATTAAGTCAGCGTTGTGATGGAGGAAAGAAAAATAATGTTATAATTTTGATATATTGAACAAAAAAATAACAATTTATGGACCCTTTTTTATTTGTTCATTACTAAAGTGAAAGAGTGTATTTGATCTTATTTATTACTAAGGTCATCAATTCCTGATTCTATTTGTTTCTCCAGACACTTCAAAAA